CTACGCGCGTGCCCCCCCACTCGTCCTGTTATACTTTCATTTTCTTCGCACCCTTCTTCGAAGCGCGCTCCTTAGCCTTCTGGTAAACGCGCATCAACTTCTTCTCTTCAGCTAAAATCTTTAAAAGAGTAATTATAAACGGTAAATAATTATGTCTCCTTCTAACCATATCATCTTGATATTTAGCCATTTTCTCATCTTCGAGCTCAATCAACATCTTGAGATTCCGAATTTCATTTTCTACGTAATCGTTGTCCATCGGGATCAGCTGACTCGCTTCCAATAAATCATCTATCTGCCGTTCATATATCATCTTCCTGTCTGACACTACAGCCATCAAACTAAAGTGTATTTCACCTTCAGTATACCTACAAGAAATTACAATAAAGTTTTAGGGGACAAGTGACTTACAACATAGTATAGTTGATATGATAAGCATAAAAGAAACTAACGCATTGATCCGTTCCATTATCACTGGTCGCACCGCATCAAGCCAATCCTCATGGGTAGTTACCTCTCCATGGTCAATGGGACCCTCGCGTAAACCATCTAGCTCGTAAACTCTACCATCTATTGCCATATATCCAATAAAATGATAAGCATCCTCATCCTGAAAAAAAAAATACTTAACAATCTATTTACGACGAAAGATAAAATTTATAAAGACGCTACTTTGTGACGAATGATATCGAAAATCACAACATATTTTTGAATAAATCTCTCTTTAAAAAGCCCTACACTTACGATACTCCTTAGGCTATATATTTTCACGCTATTAAACTTAGGGGGTAAATGAATTGGAAAAAAGCTTCATGTGGGAAAGGGAGCATAAACTACAAGCTGACTGAAGGAAGTAAGGTTTCCATGATAACTATTATCCAATGTCAAAGGCCCACATTATCATATGGCATTTGCAATTGAAAGGACTTTTGTATGGGAGGTGGTTTTGACAAACTAACAGAACAGGTACCAAGGTTATTAGTAAATAAAATTATAAAGACAATTAAAACATAAAAAATCTAATTTTAGACACCGCCGTTGTTTTTTAATTGACACTCAAAGTTTTTTGATTCTGGTATCATTGTTTACTTGTGGGAAACACTGAAGAACTTGTTTTCATTGTCATAGGTATTTCGCTGTATTCTTCAATCAGATGTTGCTGCCTCTGTTCAACCTATTTGATAATTCAAACAATAATGGAGTAATTTTCGACCATATAACTGAGGTTGATAGCATATATTTACTCACCGCACCACAAAATAAATTGGTTGCGTTAAAAATGAGTAGCTTTAAATAAAATAATAAATATTAATATTCAAATGTTTACTACAATACAAACAAAATCTCGTCTAGGCATGACAGCTAATGTCGCTTTTTGACAGATAGCTCTAAATGACGGCTTCTGAAAAAATATATATGGCAGCAGCACAGTTCACAACTAGAATAAAAATAATCTTTTGCGAATTTCTTTATTATACAGGGTTATTGGTAACTAGATGTATCCCCATTAGGGAGTGATAGAGGGAATCATAGAAGGATGGATTGGTGCCTGGATCAATGGATGGATGTTTGAGAGTTTGTAGCGTGAATGGCTGAAGGGATCTTGATGAAATTTAGCATAGATATTGGCGACATAAATGCCTACTCGCTGTTACAAGTGCCGCCGTTGATGCGCCTCGCGGCAAGTGTAACCTTGGATCGCCGCGACCGCGCTGTCGCCGCGCGTCACCGATCGGCGGCAGCCTATAATGTTCCTTTGCAAGCGCGTCGCTAAGGACGCGGTCTTTCATTTAACAACCACTAAGAAAATCATGGCACGAGGCAGATTTATTGAGGTCGCGGCGAAATACTATAAATAGTCATCATTAAATACATTTAGGTCCAGTCTAATAAGAACAATAAGGGCGGTAATATCTTCGATCGAGAAAAACTATCTAATTTTACATAGAGCTTCTCACTACAGATGTAGAGGATAGTCTGGAAGAACACAGTCTTGCTGAGTCGTCATGGAGTCGCGGCCGAAAGCTAGTAATGTTATAAATACCTTGGAAAATGCATCTGGGTCAGCTTCAAAGAGTGGTAGTTGCACCATTGAATTGTGTGCAGTTCGTATAGTGTTGGAGTTACTTAATGTCAAGCCTCGCATTTGTGGATCAAAGCACATACTGAAATCCTTCAGCTGGGTCAATTCAGGCCCCAGGTCTACATCTGGATGGGTGCAATTTAGTAGAATACTGATGATAGCTTGAGTAGCACAGGCATTGTTTATAACCTAACAAAAGATAATTTTAAAATATAATGAAATTATAACAAAACATGTCAAGGAATAATTATGATTTTCATTCCATCAATAAAATGCACATCTCACTAATATTATAAATTAGAAAGTTTAGATGTATGGATGGATAGATGTATGTTTGTTAGAGTTTGTAGCCTAAATGGCTGAATGGATCTCGATAAAATTTGGCATAGACATAGAGGATAGTGGATGAACACATAGGCTTCTCACTTTTTTTCTAAGTCGCGGGCGAAAGCTAATATCTAAATAAAAATCCAATGTTATTTGTATTTGTCACCTTTATATTCCCAAAAAATTCTTAAACTATGAAGTATGAATTATTTACAAAAAACAAGAAAATACCTGTTTGGCGAAGTATATCTTATTAATCCTATCATCGGTGACAACTGGTTTAGGTGGAGCATTGTCTTGGACATATTTAAATAAGAAAATTAAGCCATGCACAGGTCTGAAAATAACATACACATAATTATAACAAGAACATTTCAAAATTGATAACAACAGTAATTAAAAACACATTGAGATAATAAGATTTATTAAGTTAATAAGTTAATACATTGAGACTTGAATGCCAACTAAAGAAGTTGAAAACTCTAGTTACGAGTGGTAAGTTGTAAATAAAAAATGAATATCTTAAACTTTCTTTTTTTTTATAATACAAGCTGGCAAACGAGCAAGCGGCCACCTGAATCCACAGAAATGGAAAACAACTGTTGCCTATAAACATCCGCAATTGCAGATGCGTTGCCTACCTTTGATCGACGGAGGAGAAGACGCAAATAAAGAGGATATTTTCCTTTCCTATGCATATACTCCACCGTCAAATCCACTTTTCCTTCCCATCCTTTCCTCTCAAGAAAGGGTGGAAAGGGAAAGGGACTAAAATTAGGCCTCCGGCACCACACTCATCAGACGAAACTCCAAATTGCTTCCACTTCACGCCTGTTTTCTGTGTGGTCATGGTATTACACTGGGCGAACCGGCCCATTCGTGTGAAGATGTTAAAGCTCTACTATTCTATACTATTAAAATAAAAGATTTTGACACTTACTTCAAATTTTCAAATATACCTCCATCAATAGTCCACAATTCTTCAACTTGGACTCCCTTTGTCCCTAAAAATATAAAGGTAATCACAATAATTTAAGTTTCAGATTCACAACTAGTTTTTAATTACTGTTTTTAAATATTCTTTTTCTATTATAAATCAGGAGTAAATGGCAACCTAAATTTGCCATAATAGCTAAACAACCGCTGCCAAGACATCTGCAAAAATAGATTCTTTGCCTTAAGCAACAGAAAAGGGGATGCTCAGGAGGAGATTCCCACTTCTATGCACCCCCACCTCCATCAACCTTTGCCTTTTCATCCCTTCCCTATAAAGTGAACTAAAATAACTCCTGAGTCGCACATGCAACAGATGAAACACAAAATTGCTTTCTCTTCATGCCGTTTTTGTGTGGTTGGGGCATTGCATCAAGCAAGAGAGCATTTTCCATTATTAAATATATTTTTGGTTTTATCTATTTATGATATATTATAAAAAATGGAAAGTTACCAAATGCTTTTATCAACTGTGTGAACACTCCTGGATCACTTTCAATCTGGCACCAATTACCAGCTTCCGGCATTTTCGCTGCTTTTGAATTACCCTAGTCAAACTGAAACAAGACAATAAATCATAATGTTATTGGTTGTTGCATATAAATCATCACTATATAAGGTGATTTTTAATAGACAGGATCAATGGGTTTGTGTAGTTAGAGGACTTCAATAGCTTTTTAAGTGCAAAGCATGTTTCCCGATTTTCTACACTTTTAAAGTTATTTAATTATTTGTACAAAATCGGAAATATCACATTTCCAACTGAAATTAGCTTGATTCCTAAATAATTTGTAAATAAGATAATGTGTAGTACTTTTTTTTAACAAGCCTAATAATTGGGCTTCATACCATTATCCCTTTTTTTGGTTATAATAGGGAATATGCATGTATTTTTTTTCTTTTTTTAAACGATTCTACTTGTTATAAAATAACCATAAAAAATTTTGACTCAAAAATATTCAACCATTGAGCTAAAAATCATATATCATATATAAATATAATATATGTATACTATAAATGCGAAAGTTATGATGACTGGATGGATGTTTGTTAGCGTTTGTAGCCTAAATAGCTGAACGGATCTCCATGAAATTTGGCACAAGTTTAGAGCATAGTCTGGAAGAACACACAGGCTACTTTTTATCCTGGGAATAGTTACGGTTCCCATGGGATTCATTAATTTAGTTTCTTAATGTTTACTCGATCATTCTGCAACGGTTCAACATATTTTATTGAAATTTGGCACAGATATAAAACAAAGTCTGGAGTAGTACACATGGGACAGGGTTCAACCCCGAGAAATGTCCGGTTCCCGAGGAATACATAGCTTTTTGTTATTTATCGAGTTCGTATGTTTTCTAATAGCACGCGGACGAAGTCGCGGGCAACAGCTAGTAATAAAATAAAATTACGATCATTTTCGTGCGACTAAAACGCGACTAGAGTTGGCATGAGACACGTGAGACGTCACGATCATATTTTATACATTTCATCTATCACATTCGCTCAGATGTCACTTCGACGTAAAAAACAACAAAGTATCTTATTGGTTCTCAGACATATGAAAAGTCAAAAATCTATTAATTTTTATTATTCCTGGTAGCAATAAGTGGTAATTAATATCTCTTTTCATTATTTTTTTATTTTAAAGTTAGTTTTGATATCGTGTTTACAGTAAACAAAACTCCAAGATTGAATTTCTATATAAACTAACTTAAAGGAGCTATGTATTGACAACATAACGACGCCATAGTAGATACGCTACTTGCTTCGACCAATAGCGTTGCGTCTTAGAACTAACGGAGGGATTTTAAAAAAAAACACTTTTTAATGATTAAATTTTGCCACTGAATCGCAATTCATTAAAAAAATCTATACAGGTATGTTTTTATAGTAATAACGAATGCTAAAAAAATAGTTTGATTCAATTTGGCGTCACATGCATATTGCCTATTCACACAAGAACAAATGTAAAAAAAAGACATTAATAATCTTCTTAAAAAAAAACCTTCTTTAACTTTGGGAAACTGTAATTTTTAACACATTTTTTCATACAAGTTTTCCAAAAGCCACGCCCATGTCTGTAAAACAAAACCAGAAAAACAATTCGTTTGTTGTTGGTTTGTTTTTCATGTAAAAAGAACGATTTGAAATAGTCGAGGGCAACTATCTCTTGTAATAAAAAACATATGAATGTAAACTACCGAATTTATATTTGGTTTGGTTTTAGCCGCCAACCGGTGTCTCCGACGCCAGCTAGGAACACGATATAAAACCTAAGATGCTATGCACATAAAATCCACTATTACTATACCAAGGTATATTAAAAAAGGACAATGCAAAATAAATACAATTTCCTTTCCTGGCAAAATAAAGAAAACTTGTAAATGTACTGGGAAATTTTTAATTTTTCTCTAAACGAAAAAAACATGGCGCCATTTTTTGGCGGTTTCTATTCTTCACAAAGAAAACTATTTTCAAGATAATTTGCTGATATCTTAATCGTTTACAAATTATCATAAATATGATCAGTTTTCATATAAAATACAACTGCGGCATTTATAGCCATAGCCAACAGTAAAATTCTCTTCAGTTAGCATGACGAGGCATTAAGAAATGAGAATTAGTATGCAAAGTTGACTTACTTGGTCAGAAGCTGTTCTCCGGAACGGAATACCGAAAATCTAATTCAGAAAGGTATACGTTAATAAATAGGAACTTATTAACAAAACATACTAAGATTTAGAACAATACCTTAAGATACTCAATTTCACTTTGTCTAATTTAGAATGATAATTTCGACAATTCTCAACTCCGAACACAGCAGTGTTGCCAATGAAAATTTTTACCTAGCCGTGTACCTCATGTAAAAAGCCGTGTGTGTATCAGTGTCTATGGTCAAAGATCATCGGTGGGCTGAGCACCAGTGAAAATAGAAAAACTTTTCAACATCAGCTACATGTCGCTATTTTACCGTTTTCAAAGTAAAAAAATGTGTTATCTTCCTTCTTTTGTCTTATGATAAATCATTTGTTTTTATTCCATTTTTCCCGATATAAATCATTGTAAATCACAATTTTGCATTTTTTAATTTATCATTCAAAAGAAAAAAAAAAATTAAAGAAAAACAAAGAACTGTCGTAGATCGTCAAAAGCCGTAGAATCGGCTGCGGCCCTTAGGGTTGCCGAGATTTTGTAATTTGATGGCTTGAACAACGAGAGTAGGGAATATGCGTATTTTTTTTAAATTTAACTTTTTTTTAAACGGTTCTAGTTATATTATATATACATAGTAATATTATAATTGCGAAAGTTTAGAAGGATGGATGGGTGTTTTTTTAGCGTTTGTAGCCTAAACGGCTGAATGGATCTCCATGATATTTGGCACAGGTTTAGAGCATAGTCTGGATAATAGTCTGGTTACGGTTCCCGTATCGTGTTACGTGTTACGATGTCACTTCGATGTAAAAAAAAACAACAAAGTATCTCTGGTTCTCATAAGTCAAAAATCGATTCATTTTTATTATTACTGGTACAAATAAGTGGTAGTTAATGACTATTTTCATTTATTTTTTACTTTAAAGTTAGTTTTGATAACGTGTTAACAGTAAAATACTTCAAGAGCGATTTTTTATATAAGCTAACGTAAATAAACATTGCATTGACAACACAGCGACGCCATATTAGATAATTTACTTGCTTCCACCAATAACGTTGCTTTTGAGAACTTAGCGAGGGAATTTAAAAAAAACTTTTTAATCTTTAATTTTCGCCACTAAATCACATTTTCTTAAAAAATCTTTACAGGTATGAGTAATAAAGAATGCTTTCAAAAAGTTTGCTCCAATTTGGCGTCATATGAATATTGCCTATTGCCGTAGCATTGGCAAACCTCTAGTGCTCTAACACAGTGTAGTATGTATTTGGGATTGGGATGTAGGTTTTTATCGGTTACGAATTAAACAAATTTATCAAGCATTGAGTGTTTCTCTTGGTTTTCTAAAGATAAATACTAATAAAAATATATTTAAAAGAACATTGAGATTGAGAAAATAAGGAGAAAAAGGTTAAAGTGGTATGGGCATATTATGAGAAGGAATCGCATGTAACAAGACGTTAGTTATGAATGTAGAGAGGGGTGTACTGGTAGAGGAAGACCTAGAAAGGATGGTCTTGTCACTTAATGCACTTACGTGCTCCTAACAAAATTGGCCACAAGAGCCGTACATAAAAAGCCATTAAATAGATTTTGAACAATTTGATAACTCCGACAACACAGAACAATGATTGTAACTCCATATTACCCAATGTAAATTTTTGTTGCTCATTAATAGATTCCAGCTGTGAAATGAATCTGGGAAAAAATTAACACTTGTAACGCGCCCGTACTGCGTTTCTCGTATCTCATCCTTTCTACCCGGAGATCATGCCACGTATTTGCTCCCTCCTCGGGACATCACGCCACCCGCGCTGCCGCGTTCCCGCTCCTCACCTCTTGCACCTCGCGCCCTGCTCGGGACATTCCCGCGTCGCGCCTCCCGTGGCCCTCGCGCCACATCGGCGCCACGGTCGGCGCAGCCGCACCCGATCCCGATAGTCAGTCGCACGCACCCCTTATGCTCTCGCGCTAGTCTTGGGCTTAATCGGACATCTGCAAGTGCGCACCGTACCAGTACAATTGGGAAAACGTACTAGTACACACTTTTAGTACCTTTAGTACTTCAGATTTGTGAGAACATGAATAGAATATAACGAGGGTTATAGATTACTGCACATCAAATTTTATACACTTTTGATTCTTATTACCGAAGGTTAATGCTTTAATTTAGCAAATATACAATCAAATCAAACAACGAAGAAGCGAACACCGATATCGTGTAGTACTGTCCTAAAAGTGCCAAATATCCGATTAACAGATGCCGTTCAGTAACGTTACTTTTAGTACAGTGCCGAATGTAAATATATAATAACATTACTTTTTAGTACATAGTTCGTGTACTACCCAAGACTATCTCGCGCATACACATATGCCCTCATAAAAACTTCCGGTGGCTCGTTTTACGCATTTTTGTAACTTTTTTGTGGATGTTATGTTAACATTAGTATTAAACACTGTAATAATGTAAACTAGGCATAGATGTAGAATTAATTTAGGCTTTTGGTTCAAGATTCTTATGCGGCGCCTTGGGTCACAGCGCACGTTTCGCCCTCCCCCATTCCCCCCACATTCAGGGTGTCCGGTAAAGACATGTACTGTACAATGGACAACTTTCAACGTTCGAAAACTCGAACATTAAAACGACTGTTACTCATATTGTTGTAACCGCCTGAACAATTGATTACTGTCAAGCTTTTTTTCTCAGATAGCGTAGTTTAAAAGATTTTTGGTCTCTGTTTAAATTTTAATCTGGCGAATCGTTTTAGCACAAAACGGTTTTTTTGAATAGATTTTTGAGTTCAATTGCGAGACTATGACAACGTGTAATTTTATTTTCAAAGGAGTTGTACCAAAGTGGGCCTTTTTTCGAAAGTCAATAAACAGGAAAATTTAATATAAATACAAAAGATGAGGAACGAAAATAGAAACAAGAAACGTTTTATATATTTTATTCTGAACCGCCATTTTGTTTTTTACTTAAAACTAGCTGTTCCCGTGCGACTTCATCCGCATGAAATTATGAAAGTTTTATTTTATTGTTTACATTTGTCAAATTATCAATTATAAATGTCAAAGTGACATGACATGATGACAACCTTGCTTCCTTGATGTTGGCAGCAACTTATGGTCTCTTTTCTACATTAGGATTTTTATCCAAAATATTTACCCCCTAAGTTTAATGGCGTTAAAATATAAAGCCTTAAGCGTGAACCAAGTGTATGGCATTTTATTAAACAAGGAATTATTCAAAAATATGCTGTAATTGCTGAGATCTTGGCAACAAAGTAGTGTGTGTTTACGTTTATTATAATAGTATAGATATAGATTGAAAGTGGACTTTTTGTTACAACAAAGAAATAACGATTTTAAAATTAAAACATAAGTTTGGATTGCTACTAATAATTTATAATGTATATGATAAGAAAATTCGAAAAACATTATTGTTATTTTCTAACAGAATAAAACAAGTAATGCTGTCATAAATTTTCTCTCCAGAAGTCGTCATTTAAAGCTGTCAAACAACAACATTAGCTGTCATGCCTTGAGATTTCGTTTTCGTTGATTTGAATATTTTTATTATATTATACAAAGCTACCCATTTTTAACGCAAACCAATTTATTTTTTATATCTTATGTTTTAATTATCTATACAATTTTATCTACCAATAAATTTGATACGAGTTCTGTTAGTTTACAAAACCACCTATCATACAAAATGTAGACACGTCCTTTATAAATGTGTATATTACATTGCTGGTAACCCTAAATGCTCAGAGGCGAAAGAGACAATGTTCTTGCGGGACTATATAATTAATCGCCTGATACATTTTTACTTAATTTTATTGATATAATTTTAAACACGTAAAACGCTTTACACATCCATGGTAATGTAGTGAACCAATTTCACTATGGGTGTTTAGTATATTATTACACAAAAATAGATCAATTTAACACGTGCATAAAATAACGTGCATTTTATTGTAATTGTATTATTCGCATGGCAACATTGAGGTGGAGTATTCGCCATCTTATTGTTTATTTCTATTTTTCTTAATCTCGGTGCATTTAGCAATAATCTAGTAGTAGAGACTGTTCTTGAACAAAGATGTTTTTGCGTACACTTATAATATTTAATTAGTTTGGATGGATTTACTGTTTCAGTGTGGTGTCAAGTGCTCTTATTCGTGACGAAGTAAAAGTCCAGGTTAAATCTTCTAAATAAAGTAACTAGTATTTTAAGTTGATATTTAGCGCGAAGTAATCATCTTAAATATAACATGAATTAGAATTTTGTTTACAGTGGGCGTTACTATCTTTCACCTCAAGTGTACCATTCTTTGTTTCCAGACATTTTGTTCCATGAACAACCGTAGTGATCAAAATGGCCGTCAGCCCCCGCTGCCCCCGCAGCCACGGCCTCCTACTCGAACTGAAACAGAAATTGTATCAAATGATGAACCAAAGCAAATATGTCGAAATTATGTATGGGGGACATGCAAGAAAAATACGAAATGCAAATTTCGTCACGAACTGGATTTTGAGGAAATGAAGAAAATTCTTAAATTCTGCCACGACTATCAAAACAAAACCGGCTGCACGAGGGGAGATTGTACATATCTTCATACGACTAGAGAAGAAGAAAACCTTTTTCTTGCAACAGGGGAAATACCTCGTGTGCTCGCACAACGTCATGCCGCAATGCACAAAGCTACGGCGGCAAACAATGGGGAGACAATACGACAGATAGCCGTGTTTATTAGTGAGTCTTTCGTACCGTCCCAACCAAGTGGCGTACCGGGGTCTATGTCTCCGATGCCCCATGGCGTGGCAGCCTGTGCAGCGATGCCGCCGCCGCCTCCGCCTCCTCCACCAGGTCGCGCGATGCCGGTGATGCCGGCTTTGCCGTTGGCAATCCAACGACCGCCGCCACCGCCGCCGCCTCCTCCGCCACCGCCACCACCTACTACAGCTTCCCCAAGTGAATCACGCCCAGCAGCCCCTGTTTACACAGGTAACATTTTATATAAGAGTTTTCCAACTATTTTTACCATGAATTAAAAAAAACATATAAATCTCGAAACTACCTAAGCAGAGACTTTTTATTTTAACACTTTCTTTTTATGTAAATGTTTAGAGTCTGTAAATTAAACAACATAGAAATTTCAGCTTTTTAAAATCATTTATCTTATACTAGATGCAGACAAATTATGTAAACTATAGTCAGCAAATAAATGTGAGGTAGAACTAATCTGTTGCCTAGTTTTTTCTAGTGATATATAGGGATTGTTACTTTCTATTGCACTGAAACTCTGTATTATTAGTAATTTAAGTTTGATGTATTAAATTTTTTGATCTTTACAATGAGTTTGCAACATCTTGAAATGTATGAGATTTTTTTTGTTATTTTACAATTATCTGTAGATCATATTTTAATAACTTTTTAGCAACACTCGGTCAACCTCCAGAAAGTACAACAGTGGTTTTTCCAATCAATCAACCACCTCCTCCTCTGCCTGTCGTCATGTATGTATGAATTTAAACATGTTTTTATAAGTAAAATAAACAAAAGATGTATACATTAATTTACTGTTGATAGTAAATACTAATACTAAATTTAATTAAAGGTTTGATGCAAGTAGACCTCCGCCACCATTACCGAACCAATTGAAGGCAAGTAGTGGTGCTGTAAAACATAAAGCATCAAATTTACCTGAAGGTGAGTTATGTAATATTGATAATAATTTAAAACAAATTAACAATTAAACTAAATGCTTAGCGTTACATAAAATCTATGTTTTGAGTGCAAAAACCAGAAAAAGAGATTTCAGCTTCAGCGAATAATAAAAAACAAAAAAATGACCATCCTGCCAGTCAAGTAACAAACAAATCAAGTATCCTCAAAGTTATCTCTTTAATTCTTCAAGCTTTTGTAAAAAAAATGTACTTTTTACATGTGTTTTTTGGTTGGCTTTGCAAGTCTTATGCGAAACTATCCCCCTCGTTATTATGCCAGCCATGCTATTTACATTAAAATCTAACCTTGCCAACAATATTAAAAAATATTGTCTGACTTAGTCGCTGAAGTTAATTCACATAATATTATAGAGGTTATTCCTTGACTTCTGGGTGAAATTATGAAATAGATCTAAATATAGATAGTTTTGATTTTACCATTTAAAAGAAATCTCTTTACCTACTTTTATGTTAAATTTGAAGTTTTGAAAAATCAAGCACTTATGTTTTGTTTGGATGTTTGCTTATATAATAATGTTATTTTACACCAATTTCTATCTGGCTCGGCGCTTGTTGATTTGTTCTCAGCTGGACCAAGCAAAATAAGGAAGCCAGGGGACAACATTGTAGCAGACGCGCATTGCGAAAACTGTGTTCAACGCGAGATCAGGTTTGGAAATACTGCAATTTGTCTTTCATATTGTCTGCATGAATTTTAATCTGAAAATATATATTAATTACAATCTTTAATTACAATGATTATTAAACATTATTATCAGTCGTGGCTTTTTACCAGTGGTTTCCATCCATTACAAATAATTGATTTATTTAGCGAGTAATGCAAAGCGCATTTTTATTTATTTAGAAAATACATCTAGCGAATTTTTAGTCTTCAATGTCTTCCACGTCTGTCTCTTAGGTTGCCTTAGCTTCACATTATGGCCAGCAATTTGGATAAAAAAAAAGTTTTCATTTCAAGATCCCCTGAGCGTGCATTTTAGGAAAATTCCATATAACATGCTGTGCGAAAAAATTAAACATTTACTTAATGTTTTCTCCATAAACATTTTAGTATTTCCGTTTCAACCTGTTCTTCATATATTGGGTTTCTACCCATATCATGATTAAGACTAAACATTTAAACTATATACTAAAGACATGGAAAGCTCTTATTTCCATATAGGGGATAGATTACATTTTATAAAATAATTGCGTAATTGCGTATTAAATTAATTAATTATTAACGTTTGCGCGGCGATTACGAATGTCTAAACTTTAACACACTTTTTGAAGTAATATACCCTGGATAGGGAAGCGATAACACGAATCAATACGGAATTTAAGTTTTTTGTCAATATTAAAAAAACACCAGCATGTTACCTGTAGCACAGTATATTTATGCTTTTTTTTATTTTGTAGGATTAAATTATATCTACAACAATGTGATAAGCTACAGTGTGAACAGGAATATCAAAAATTGATTTATGAAAAGACCCTGGAAGAGTACAAAACTGCAAAAGAGCTTCTGAGATCGGTAGTCAGCTCTGACATGTTTAGGATTTTGGAAGAGCATATTGAGGTTATTTCTGTTATCATAAATTTTAAATAATAATGACTATTTACTTATTTGTCTTTTAAAATTGATCTGAGTTTTTATTTTATTTATATCAATATAAAATGTTAATGCTTATTGATGACTTGTATATTAGAAACTATGGAAGGCCTATGTGCTACAGTGGGCAGATGATGATATTAGAAAAGCAATTTGATATTAATTTCCGGCTCCACACTGGGAGTAACTGATTAATATTTCTTTTGGTTGCAGGGTGTACCACAAATACAGTTACATGATATAATGTCTCAGTTAAACCCAACATCATTTGGTTCGGTAAATATGGATTTTAATTTATTAAAATCTGCTGAAAATACTGAAATTTTGATTTTTTTAATTTGTTACATTTTTTTAGAGTATGTCAACAGTACCGAAACAATTTTTGTTACAACTTATGGATTGTGTTTTAAGTAATCCGAGAAATGTACTAGATATGGTGAGTTTTTTATATAAATGTAATTATGCATAAGACTATTAAAAACTTAATCAGTAGTACAGATAATATATTTTGATTATGTATTTGTTTATCATACAATATAATATATGTAAATAGTTAATATAATATTTAAATAATTGTTAATCAATTCTAATATTTAAGGGTGCCAGTACATCAAGCAGTTTGGATGAAAGTTTTCTGCAAACTTTATCAGCATTGCCAAGAAGAACAAATACAATTGTAAATCATTCACCTACAGATGTTATACAAGCCTTTTTTGATCTGTTACAGAATTGTAAGTTATCAATTATTCAGGGTACAAACTTTAAGAGTTTTAATCATTAAATGACTAAAGAGAAACAGTAATTTGTTAGAGAGAGAAGTCAAATATTTATCAAGAAAGCAATTTGAAATACTATGAACCATTATAGTGTCATGTCCTAAGTAGCTTTAATGATAGTTGAAAGGATTCCTTTAAAGTTATAATAATGCATCTTATTAATGAGCTGGTGTACTAGTAATATAGTATACATTTCAGATGAAATTGGGTTTGGGATGATTAACACTGTTATAAATAAGACAAAAAGCATCAATAACTATTTAAATAAATTAAGATATATTATATTTATATGAAAATAAAATCTACCAAACGTAACATTTAGTAACTTGACACGAAAACATTATCAAATATATGGTAGTGACGTCACAATTTGCATGCTATTTTCGTTATTTATATAAAAAAGGATTTAATAGCAACATAAAGGATACAATTTTACTCCATAGCAAAGTGTGACGTCAATAACTCCAGATTAATATAAATCAGGTAATGTGAAATGTTAATACTAAGTATGTAATTAAAAGTAATATTTGATTGCAGCTAAAATAAGTCCGGATAAATCCGACTTGACAAATGAAATTAACAGATTGGCTGGAACGAACAGTACTGGTTTGAATGGTATCAACGGTTGCAATACTAGTCAAAAAGTGGAGAGTTCAAGTGCAACATCGATGACAGGATCTGTAACTTACAGTAGCTCTGGAATACTACCGAGAGGTTACCCTCCTGTTAGTGTTTCCATGTCCCCTTTAACTGGGACACAAATATCTGTCCCCCCACCACCTTTCCCTTCTTATCAACCTACCATCCCCCCTCCACCACCACCAACTGGGCCATACTATAACTAGATTTTTCCAGTCTCATCTAGTTAGTAGTTATGTGTGTATATATATGGTATATATGATGTTATGGGTGTGTTTCATTCATCATATATACACGGTGATTTTTAACGGACGGATCAACGGTTTTGTGGAGGTAGAGGACCTCAATAGCTATCATTTAAACGCAAAGTTTGTTGCACGATTTTCTGTAGTTTGAAAGTTATTCAATTTTGTGTAAAAAAAATCTAGTAGGATAAAAGTTGGTGTAAAAAAAATTTGTTACAGCTTCTCAAAGTTCAAGAAAGAAATTTTTTTTTAGGAAAATTTTTAATACTTTTTTTTTAATTAGTTCTCGTATGATTTTTCCAAAAAAGGAATAACGGTACGCAAGCCTAATTATTAGGGTTGTTAAATAAAAAAATGACCACTGTAAACACATTATTTTGGACGTACGTTCAAGTTTAAGGCAGAAATCTGATTATTCCGTTTTTTTTTCCAAAAAATTAAATATCTTTAAAACTATAGAAAATCGGGCAACACACTTTGCGTTTAAATGATAGCTATTGAGGTCCTCTACCTCCACAAAACGGTTGATCCACCGGTTAAGAATCACCCTGTATATATGATATGTAACTTAATTTAGGCAGTTAACTGTTTAAAATGAACACACTGGAATAGTTTACGTTGGAATAAGGGATTGTATCTAGATATAGGTGAAGTCAGTCATAAATCCCTCAAACTATATTAATTCCAACAAAGTACAGAATGAGTAAAATATATTTTTATTTAAGATATAACAAAGACTAGATCTTATATTTAAATGCAGATTGAGAATGTAACATACACCAAATAGAAGAAATAACATTGAAGCAATATTAAGGTGAATAATGAAGATTAAAATTTTGCTAATGCAAAAGGGAACTTGAAAGCGCTACATTATAATATTAAATAAAGACTTTGGTGAGTCGAAATGCAATGAGGGACTTTATATAGTTTGTAGTAATTTAGTAATGTAAGGTATTACAGTATGTGTGTGGTTAGTGGAAGGTGCATGTAGAAAGAAGTGATGTAATTATATTATTTTCTTGCTTAGCGATGAGAAGGTTGTGTGACGTATAGTTTCAGGTTTAAGAGTATTTTGCCTTTTTAGATTAATTTACTTAGAGTACGAAACTAGACTTTAAGATTACATGTGCTATGCCGGTGAGATAAGCGAATTATTTAACTTTGATTCATTACGTAACATGTGTTTTGTCATAATTTGTTTGTCAATGCAGCTGTTTTCGCTCATTTTGTAATATTAGAGTTTTAAAATATACGAAATAGTAAAGCTAGATCATTCCATAATAGTTTTTAAAGAAAAAGTTGTTAATAATATATCAGGTTAACTTTTTTACATGTATATGCTGCTATTGAAATCAAGTTAAATGTCTCATAGTGTTAGCTAGTTCATATTAGTGATACTGACAATGAATCAACATGCCTTTTTAACATAATGCAGTGATATTGATCAACTAATACATAAGCAATACTATCAGATGAAATTGGAACAGTAATGAAATTTTATTATTATTGATCAGTTATTTGACCTATTTTTTTGTTAAATCAACTCAGTAATAATTATCATACTTATTTATCATACTTTTTAAAATGTTATTAAAAAGCAATAAATTTTATTGAGCATGAGATATAGTTATTGAATGGTCTGTGCAAGGTAAAGCCAATTTAAAGTTGAGATTGGCTAATGATAAATAAGATAAGCAAATATATATGTATATTAGCAGCAATATATTACAGTTTATAGAGATCATTTACTAAATTGTCAAAATAGTGATAAGAAAGTCTTATTTATGGATGTTCATAAATTTTATTAAAATGTTCATTATTAATAGTTCAAAGTTTTTTTTTGGACTGTACACAAAACAATTTTAATGCAGTTGCAACGAAAAAAAATGTCCATGCTTAGTATCTCTGTCACTGAAGTACACGAAAATCCATAAATAAAAGAGGGTCTATCACGAATATTTGCGTGACAGTTGCGAGAATGTATTCTTTACATCATCAACAATGTATATATGAGTCTTGTTGGTATACTTTACGCCCAGTAGGAGCGCTGCTGAATCTAATACAAATTTTGTCAATCAAAATGCGAAATGTTCTCACAAATATTTGTAATAGACCTTGGGGCAACTGATATCTGTAGCAATAAGCAGAACTAAATTGCTACTGCTGAGCTAATAATAAATTATTTCAGTCCTCAATCTGTAGCGCTAAGATGTACTGCTAACTAACTTAGAAACTGCACATGCTATTATAATAAACATTTTTAGAAACTTTATGTGTCTTTTTAAACATTTGGCATCTGTAATTTGACTTTACAAAACACATGTTATTTTGTCTATTGTAATGTATTTTAAGAATTCAATACAACATTGTAAAGTGTACAACATATTCTAGAATTCTCTATACTTAATTATGTCACATGTAGTTAAAAAACTGAAAACAAATATTTGTTTAATATGAAATTATTTTTAATAGAATTGTAATAGTTATAAGGCCACTTTTACAGTTGAAATTTTTATAAAATATGCATTAGGTACATTTTTGATCATAAAATATTGCAATATTTATATTTTAGTAATGAAATATACCTAATACTAAATTTTAATATTTCTAGATATGTCCATAGTACCTGCTTAAGTATTTTATTTTAGATTTTGCCGTATTCATGTTGCGTATCATGTTTACAAACTGCAAGAAAAATTGATTTAACCCGAGTAGCTGCTGTTAATGAACTGATTTATTGTAATTATTCTGAGCTGCATATATTGCTATTGTTTTTTTTTTAATGTTTGTTATTAATTTTCTATAGTATGTTTATATTAATTTTTTTCCAAAATGTACTGCGATGGAGTATAACTCATTGAGTCTAACTTGTTGATGCCTTTTTACTCTCCATACTAGTTTTATACATTGTACCACTATCCTTTAACTCAGTATAAACTGTTTAAGATTTTACATGAAGAAATGTTCTTTTAAATTTGATATCAATAAATGGTAGTGAATTTTAGTATTTCAGTGCGTTTTTTTTTTTCAATACACCAGTTTTTCATACCTTTTGATGTGTTATGTGCTGGGTTTTGTATGTTATAAATATGAAAAAAAGAATAGTTCACATTACCTGAGTACAAAAGCTTAGCAAATTTGCAGCCGTGCCATTTGCTTCTTCCTCGGTGTGTGCTTAGCAAAATGTCAAGCTGTCAGCATCTGCAGCCGCTGTAAGATAATTGAATATCAATAACTAATATGAGATACCATAAAACAATTGATAAAATTACAGTACTCCCACATATATTAAAAAATTACACACATAATAAATTAAAGATTTCATAGAATTTTAACTGTTAAGAATATTGTACGGTACTTAAAGTTCCATTCCAAGTTTTATGTACTAAAGATCAATGACTCTCTAATATAAACAGTTTCTCAAAACAATATGAGATTTAATAGACCTATATTAGGCAGTTTTTACTGTTGCAAATAAAGCGTTTCTCTTGAGAAAGCAAAGTTTATGATTAACAAATAAGACTTACCTCATTCACTTCATTCATATTGAATATCCAATAGCATTTTCTCTCCCTACTTGCTGGCGTCCATATTTCTGTCTTCCTGCGATCAAGGCATCCTTCCAACTCCATGTTTTCCTTTTCGATATTACAAATGTGAACTTTTTACGGCGAATTTCAGTTGCGCGACTAATATGAAAGGTGTGTAATATTTCTAATTGGACTGATGTTAGTCTTTTTCCATTGATAATTTAATATCTTCTACGCCTAACGTTTTAGGCTATGCACATCTTTTGCTTTCAATCAAAACTTGCGGGCGTGCGTGGTAATGTTAACTCACTTAAACATCACAAATTATATTGGAATGGAGATATATCAATTATTTAAATAAGTTTTTAACAGGAACAACTCCTTAATAATATAATATTCAAATAATTAATTTTCGTTTAACGTTAGTAAAATATATATAATATACTCGTATGTATATGCGCGTTTGTTACATAGATTATTTATGTTCAAAGATGGCAGTCAGAATTTCAGTTTCAGAATGGTATATAAAACTAGTACATAAAATTTTGCTTAAGGAAATCCGATTTCAATGGGAATTTGTTCACAATTTTTTCCAAGAATTGTCTTTTGTTTTTGTTAAATATTTAATGCCACATAAGTCTTAGGTAATTAAGGAAATATGTATTTTCTTATATAACAATGTTGCAACTTATTTACAAAACATTTGTGGATAAGATGTTTTTGTTAAGAAATAAAAGTTTTTTTTGACTGAAATAATTTATGATATAAATAGGATTTGTTGCTTTTTAGTATTAGGAAAGTTTGGTATATATCCAAGTTATTACTTTTGGAGGTCATTACATTTCAATGGCAACTTTGACGTCACTTTCCTGATATCCAGGATAAAAAAATATCAGCGGTTTCAAAGCGGTGCGCACAGAGTATATAATGACGAAAATGCGAAGCTAAAGTATATTTGGAATAAGATAGATGTTACATAATAATTTCATGAAAATATACATAATATACAGGGCTTGTATTTATTATTAACCATGTTAGGTACTGTGCGTATTTGTTTTAGGTTAATTCTAAAAAGTAAAAATTATCGATTGTACAAAGAAGATATTTTGTGTAATAAAGCACCAAGTGTTTGTGTTCAGAATTAGGGATAATCCTAAAACCTCATTATAACATGTTTATTCAAGTTTACTCTAAGTTTAATATAAATGTTTGTCTTAATAATACAAGGTTTTCTAAAGTATCTATAAAATTATCGAGGCAAACGGTATCTATGTTTCTTTGAAAGTGTATGAAGTTGGCCCTTTTTTGTGTTTACTCAAGGATCGCGGACGCATCCTACTCCTAATTCATGGATGCGTGTGGCATGAATATTGATAGAATTCAGGATTAAGTAGGTCTGTCATTCTGCTATGGGCGGGAAAGATGAAATTGCGTTACTGAATCTTCAAACGTATTGCTCAGAATCTTACTTCGAGCAAATGCGGGATGTTATACACACCGCTATAAGGGATAATTGACGTCTCTTGTATAATTCTTTGAGTTGCAAGAGTAAAGCTGCGGTCCTTAGACAGATTTCGATGATGAAAAAATATCATAGTAATACTTCATTTGCTTCACGTATATTAAGATAATTCATCATCATATCATCGACTGTATGTATGTACATGTACTCTTTTTTAAGGAACGGTAGGAACGATAAGCGTTAAATTAGACAAGAAGATAAGAAGTCCATAAAGCTATTTGTAATCAAATAATGAAAAAAACCTTTGATCAAAAATCATGGTCGGAATTCTTATAACAGGCGAACACTGTTATTTAAATGTAAGCAATTTCATTAGGCTTCCGTATAGATATATTCTTCTAAATGCCATTTATGCTTGCCATATTATTTAGACTTCTAGTCATTGTCAAGGTCATTAAAAATCGTTAGGTGATGGACCGAAAAGATGTTATTGTAAATTAAAACATATTTGATTTTCTACTTTTTAATTTTATCAACCTAACATTAGAATATTGCCAGCTTTAATGATGGTTGTCAGCGGGACGTTGTCAATGTCATGCATACGCCTGCCTAAGACGTCACCCTCTTAGATAACTATAGTGGTGCATGCCAGTTACTGGCGCATTCTGCATACATATACCAGTAACAGGGAACAGTAACTTCTACGCCAGTTAACCAAACCGTATGGAATTTGTCCATTTCACGATTTGCACGATTTCGTGCCTGTCATATCCCCACTCCTTACGCCGTCCCTCAACTTCCACGCTCATACATGTCAAAATCAAATATCATCTTAACCACGTCAAGCCCGGCGACGACATCCAATCCAGCGTTTACAGGTGCCTTTAGCTGTCATGTGCAAGTTTATGATAATGTCATGGTAATGATGATCATAGATATTTACAATATAATTACTTTATTTCACACTAAAAATGATCACGGACTACGACCACGCTTTTTTTCATTAAGCATAAATGTTTCCAATCTACACAAAGGAAATGCTAGCATTTTGTTTATCGACGGTACTTACCCGCTACCTAGCGTACCTGCTCTTCGGCGTGATGTTCTTTATTTTTAAAAACATTTAACAGGTAATGTTTTAAGTTAATTATCTTATACCGTGAAGTAATATAAGATTATTAGCAAGTTTAAATGATATAAATGCATTTAATAAATTGAAAAAGCTTAGATTTCTTGCCTTTCTTTTAATTTCTTTGTCTATAGGCAGCGGTCGCTTCGTTATTTTGATGGATTAAGGTGGCAGCTTGCTCGTTTGCCGACTTCTGTTATAAAAAAAAATTGCAATGTTTCTTATAGTGGGTTTCAACTGATGTGACAGTTGTATATTGTAGTCTTTTTATCGAAGAGAATGAAAGGGATGACGATAATGTAATAAAACAATTGTTATGCTGTAGGACACCCTCTGCAGGGCGTATTTGTTTCTTATAGTCGATAGTTTTCGACCGCAACTGCGTCCGTGCGGAATTGAAAGTAACTTAGTGAGTAGCATTTGTGTTGTAAACTACGAGTATGTTCTACATGTGTACCAAATTTCATCGAGTTCCGTTCAGCAGTTTAGGTAACAAACTCTAACAAATATCCATTCACCCGTTAAGGTGAATGGATGTTTGTTAAGTTATTTCGCATGTGTAGTACTAGAGCCTGCCCACGACACCCTGTTCTGTCCCCACGTGGAGACAGATAAGAATAAAAAGTTTCTTCCGTCCCACCTTTTGCGACGAGGAGACGGGTGGAACTTATTTTATTTCGTAACTGTTCCATCTATCACCTTATTTGTGTTAGTGGGACTAAAAGGTGGAGTGGATGAAACTTCTTATTTTCACGTGGGGACAGAGCGGGGTGACGGTTGGAAATAATCCCCACATTTAAACTCCACTTGGATGAAGTTGCCGGACATATCTAGCTTATCATAATATTCATTTCTTAAAAATTTTACGAAATGAAACGATAGAACAAGTTTTAGTTATAGTTTAATAAAATTATGCAAAACTAAACACTACATACAGTTTAAATGTGACAAAGCAATCTATTAAAAAAGCAATCTATTGAGCACTTTAATAAAACAATGTAATCTTAGCCACTACTATAATAAAAGTTGATTACAAAATAAATTAAAACCCAAGACACTTCATTCGGGCGGTGATCCTGGCATAATAGGTGGATGAACAAACATTTCCACCATCATTACAACTCCTGTGAAATCTTCGTCACTGAAAGAAAAATGAAAAAATCAATGAACTATTTCAACAAAAAGTAACTAAAACAGGCATTGCTTGTTATGTTGTCTTCTTTAAGTCAACTGCCACTAGAAAAAGATAAATATATCTGTTTGTTTGTATTTCTAAAAATTTAATAGATCATAATCATTAGTTTGTCCATATAAGGGTGATGTAGTCCGCGTCAAAGTACATCATACAGATTTATCTCATGACGTTTGCTGAGTATGTAACTTGTTCCCTGTTGCAATAATTGCATTAATAATAATTTCCTAGAACTCACCTTACAAAATTACGACGAGAGTAGTAAATTAGACCATAAGCGCAATGAAAGCCCAGAGCCAATAAGAAGAGGCACAGTAATAATAAAAAGATTTGTAAATCAGTCAAAAAGTCTTCATCCTGAAACAACAAAAGATGGTTTTATTATAGATGCAATGATCACGATAAAGTGTTATTAAATAGAACATTTTTTACAAACCTCTTTGCAGTCGGCTTCCCAATCAACAGATATAAGATGACCATATATTTCAGTAAAAGTTGTAAAGTCACATAGGGTACCACAATTGGGTATGGCCATAGCATAGGGTTCAGTCATATCACTGGTGTTCTGATACAAAATTCTTACATAAAAGTTATTTGCATAGTTATCTGTAAAAATATAACATATAACAGACAATATTTCTTCAATGTCACTTAGTTTATATTTTCAGATGTAATTTTGTTAAAGAGAGATTAAAGTTTGTAATAAGGATATTTTAACGGAAAAGTATGTAATCCGTAGTTGAACATAATTCATGGGCATTGTAAATGATTATTAAAATCGCCTAGATATGTATGAAATAAATGATTTTAGATCAGTTTCCTAAGAAATATATACATTTACTAAATATCAAGTGGTACATTCAAGATGCCAATGGGTACGCGGTGATGGCATAAACGTTTTCGCGATTGTTATAGCGATACAAAGATGCAATTGAGTGTATCTTTAAAGGTTTTTTAAACTTTCAGTCGTCCGAATTTAAGTCTGGATTCCAAATGGGTCCGAAAGATATTCAGTGCCAGCAGTAAAGCCGGTGACTGTGATAAATCATTGAAACGATGGCGTAGCCAGCTGATGATCAAAGGGCTCGGAGGTAACGCGGAATAGCGGAGTGTCGTAGCAAATTAAATTTGGTGTGGGCGAGTTTTCTTTTTGTAGAACCCCTTTAAATCAGTTGTACGCGATGTACAATAATTTGCACAAATAATTTTTACTTGCCATATAAAAGTTCCATTAAAATTGTTGCAATAAATGGTGGACATTTTCCATCGAACAAATCCAAAGCAGTGAGAACATTTCCGATTGTATTATCACTGCCACTGTATACTGACAGAATAACGTCACTGGGCATGATCGTAATTGCACGTGACATGTTATTCACAATTTCTTTAATCAATGGGCCCACCAATAAACGGGCCATAGATGGGGTAGCCGATGGCAAAGCATAACTGGAAAATATGAAGTAATTGTTATCATTACTAAATAGAAATTCATTAATCTTTTGTTATTGCAAGTTGTTACAATCTGGATGAACAATTTAATATTTTTGGGCGAATAATAGAGGATTATGTAAATTTCAATATAAATAAATGAGGTTACAGTAAGTATGTCTATAAACGTTCAAAAAGGGAACTAACCATTATTTGGTAATCAAGGTAGACCTCTAATATGTATAGTTTGAATTCAATATGCAACGTTTTTATTTAATTACTAACATTAACACTAAAAAGCAGCTAACCTATGACATGCCGGTTCTTTAAGCTTTTGTGGAAATACTGCTTGGGTCCAGTTTGGCAAAGCCAAATTGTATAAATCCTCAATCAACAAAATGTTATAAATTTCATTGATATCGTAATAATTTTCAACAGTCCAATTTGTATGTTCTGACAAGTAACTGAAATTTATAAGTAACATTTATTAAATTGACTGACATTCGTTAAATTGAAATAAATCATTAATTTAATTAGTTAACTTAACAACTGGGTTTGGGTTCACTTAGTAGCTTATTATATTTTAACACAAGCTTGCTTTAAAAAGTGCATTGTAGTCAGACTAAGCGTGTACCAAATTTCAGAGAAATTGACTACGGGAAGTGGGTCTATGTTTGGTTACACGAATCTGTACAAAATGTATAAACAAAAAAATATAGTCGATTAGGAAGCTAACTATGGGAATTGAAAAATAACTAATAATCTAATAACTATACTGTGAAATTAAAAGTGTGCAAAGTCGATAAAGACTGGTTAAAAAAATACTTACTTCAGAAGTTCTTTATAGGAATTGAGTCCATCTTTATATGGCTCTGTATTTAAATATTCCTGCCTGAGTTTACCATATTTTGGACATACTCTTTTCATAGCCAAAATTTCATCTTCCTTTACTGGTATGGTTGTTATAAATATGGGTTGCTGGGAGAAATATGCGTTCGTAAAATTGTTGCTCACGTTTGGGAGACACATACCTGAAAGAATAAAACAGACAATATTAAAAAAGTGAAGAAACAAGGAAGAGCAAAGAATGATTTATTCATCTTACCAGCTAAGCTAGCTTGGGCCGACTTTATAAAAGCATCCTCGTCGATAGAGCGTGCGAAAATCGTTACAGGGGTACATCCATTTAAAGACTCCTTCTGAAAACAGAGAACATGTTAAAAGATAACAATTTATATTCAGGACGCAATAGAATACCGTTTAATTTCATCATTTCAAATGACCAGGCTTACAAGGTATCGTTCCCCAAACCATTGTCCTAAAGCGTGATGTTGTCTTTTGCCAATTTCAAAGAGTTCGCTGTATTTATACGGCCATGCTTCTTCATAACGTAATGGATCTGTAGGATACGGTTTAATCGAAGGGTTAAAGCCGGAGCTATATAGCACCGCTGAATACTTAATTGAAACTTGAGCTAAACTGCTGCTCACGTGTATGAAAAGATAAAATAGAAAATGCATTTTAACAAAATGACGATTTTAAGAATTTATTGCACAAGGACCACACACCTAAAGTGTCAATCTACAACTGGCGAAATCATCGATACGCTGCCTTGAATTGTAACCGCCCGCCTTCTAGAATTTTCCAATGCAGGCATAAATACAGGAAAGACTGACGCAGATAGAACACGTGATAAGTAAACAACTTTCAGGAATATAAAATGGAATTATTGAAATAGGTATTCCAGTCTGGCCAGGGGCGTATTTATCTTACGGACAAAAGCGCCATTGTTTGGCGCTAGCCGCACTTCGTCTGCCTATTTTTATTTTCTATGCCTGAAGTCCTTAATTAAATATCTGAATACCTAAATAGCTTAAATTACAGTCGCGTGGAATTAAAAAAACAAACAAAAGAAAGTAGCCTATATGTCCAGACTCCAGACTATGCTTTCTGTTTAGCCGTTTAGGCGGAAAACTCTAACAATTATCCACCGATCCATCCAAACTTCCGCGTTTATAATAAAAATAAAATTGTCATGTTAGTAAAGTCGACTTAAATTAACATAACTTTTACTAGTTATGAAACATACATTAAACTTACACTTTTCAGTTTTCACACACAGTGGTGTTCAGGTCAATGTTATCAATTTTCAGCCAGAGAAAATGTATATTAATGTAATTTACTATGTAAGCTTTGTATTCCTTTTACATTTTATATTGTCATAAAAAGAAATATTTTTTAAGTAACTATTGAGGCGACCTACATGGATAAGACGGCCCTGGACCGGCAGAGGTCACGATGACAGACATGAAATCAGATGTAAATATATACGCAGGGGATAAGCGGGGCCGCCGCCGAGTTGCTAGTACCTACGCAGTTCTGTCGTTATGATATTTGTCGCCAGTTTTAAATCTGAATCCTAAAAACTTGAGATTCTAGAAAATACCTGGCTTTTTGGCGCCTTCAGTCTGCTTGGCCAAGGTCTTTAGTCGTAGTCTTGTTTGAAAGGTGCGCGTTCACCAATTAGGTATTAAGAGTAACATCATCGACATACTAAATTTGTCAAATAAGCATTAATTTGACTGTCACTAAAGTTTACATTGTCTTCGTAAGGTGGACTGAATATTCGAAAATCTTTCAGTATCGAATCATTCAAAGAGCGTGCGCACACCTGAAACTAAACTATCGCATATCCGTTTAGTTTCGCTTTGATTCCTATGAGTGTATATGGAGATGCGCAGACTACTCGATTTTTAACTGTGCAACTAAACAGTTAAATTGGCTGTGAAACAATCGACAATCGCGCGACAGTTGTGCGATAGTTTAGTTTCAGGAGTTCGCACGCTCTAATGCTGGAAAGAATTTTGCTAAACCTGACTCCAGGCACAAAATATAAGTATACATCGTATTATTACTCTTATGGAGATATAAAATAATATGTGTTCAAACGAATTTATTTGTTTAAATTCAGGATACTCCTTACAACTTGAAATTCGGGTCGACACCAATTCACGTATTTTCTATTCATCATGCATGGATGACACAATTATATAATGTAACTCTAAAAGGCTGACTTCACTGATATCTTCGAACTTCTTCGCCGATATGTCCAGATAGCATCACGATGTTTTCTTTCACCGTAAGAACGTCGAGTAAATTATGTACATATAAAAGTTGAAAACCGAAAATCATATTGGTGCATGACGGGATTCGAACTCAGGACGTGTAGATTAAAAGTCAAGCTTATACCCCTGAGCCACCGATTCTCTTGTCTCCAAAAAATATACGACTTATGTCAAACGACAATTACCAAATATTTTATATTAAATAAAACTTCTTATTTATAGTATTTAAGTATGGTACAGTCGCCGAAATCCGCGGTGTTCCAATTACACAAAAAAGCCTTGTTCCTTACAACTAGACAACTCAAATAGTGAGTTGCGCAAACGACGCGACGGGATAAAATTAGAAAATGTTCAAACGATTATAGCTTATAAGTTAGACCACCACACGACTCCCCGATTGTATATATGTATGTATATTCAATAAGAAAATAATGTTTAGGTATAGGTATCTATGTACATAAATAAGCGATTATTACTCGTGCGCAGAGACTTTTCCGGTGCAAAAGAGCCAGCGGTCACCCGAATTCGTCGAAATAGCGAAGCTACCGATTCCCTAATCTGGGCAGGAAGCGACGCATATAAAGAGGATATTTTCTCTTCTTATGTGTCCTCTGCACCGTGAAATTCATTTCTCCTTCCCATTCTAAATAATGTAATGCCATACCGATGCCTATATAATAAAAGCTAAAAAAAGTCTTTGTTTTTTTTTTTCATGTAAAAACAAATAGTCGAGGGCAATAATTTTTCGTGAAAATTATATTTTTATAAAAACTATAGTCTAAAAAGAAAGATTTAGAACTTTTTTATTACAGTAACTATAACATGTTACATAAATAAAACAAAATTAAAATTGTTTTTTAAAGTAAATTGAATATGTACGATAGATCATATTTTCAGCATTTTTAAAGAAAAAATTAAAACGATACTTTATTTTTGAAACATTTATTGAATCCAATTGGTATATTGCAAATATTGATTGAATTCCAAATTCTATTATGAATTCCAAATGGTGAATATCAAATAGGCACATAATATCACGTGTCGTGTTGTATCGCTTGTCTATATATTTATGTCAGTATCAATGTCAATGAATAATATTGACAGTTGACATTAACATTCTGACTGACATCTCTTAAATTTGCCAGTTCTCAAGCATTCAAAAATAATTCACTATTCAAGTCAAAAAAAATCAAACCACGACCACGATAAATTCTTTAACATATTTAACTCTAACATGTATGGCCATACTGATAAAGAACGTAAGAAATTCCATACTGTTAAATAACAACAATAATGAAAAGCGTAAAACTGGTAAATAACTACTAGTTGGACATCAAAAAGTGACTAAATAAAAAATACATGAGGACATTGTCTTTTTTTGAATTGTGGTAATACTAGCAACACTGAAGAAGAAACTCGGTTCGAATCGGGTGTCGGCCATTGTCGGGAATCGGCCATTGCTATTGCTTTTACGAGCGGTTTCATATTTAGCATATTTCTTTGTTAACGCTATAGTAAGCAACAATGCTTGAGAATTGAGTATTAAAAATCGTAAATTGCTTGAATCAAATTGTTATTGATATTAGAGGTAAGTAGTGATTATCATAAATTTTAATTTAGAGTAATGAAACAATTATAAGTAGTTTATATGAATATAATACATTATTTAAGTATTTTTAAATAAGAATTTTAGATATCTTAGAATTCATTTCAGGATGTTACATTTAGAAATAGCTTTTATCTGCATTTTTGTTAATTGCTGATAAAAAGATTAGTGATGCCACGTTGTTATGTAAAATTGTCGTTCTAACAATTCTTTCTGCAACAATTTTACTGTTATTTTTAAGAAAGTTATGAGTGTACAAACAATAACGTGCTTATTGTTTCTCCGTTCTAGAAAAAAATGTTATCTTACCTATTTATAAATGTAGACATTCTAATCAATAATTGTACAGTATCATTTGACTCTATTGTCTAAATATTTATGTGCTGTTATTTTTTTCCAGGAACAAAATGTTTGGGCTTTGTCTCTCTATTTTAAGCTGGGTAGGGCTCAGCCCTGTCCCTTTTCTTGCTAATATCCTGAATACCACTGAGCCAGCTCTGAGACTATTGATATCAATTTTATTGGGTTATCCTTTGGGTATTATTTACCATAAGTATGTACGAAAATACCCTGAATATAGAAACTTGTATTTTGTTATTACTGGAGTAGACATTGCTTTGTACAATTTTGGAAAAGCTATAATACACAACACAGTACCAGCTCTGATGATGTACTTTACTACAAGTATGTTTGGACCGGATAAATTGAATGTGATTATCACATTTGTTTTCAACATGACATATCTTGTTGTTGGTTACATGATGACTGAATCAGAAAACTATGATATCACATGGACAATGCCTCACTGTGTGTTAACATTGAAGCTCATTGCCTTATCTTTCGATCTATGGGACGGACAAAAGCTTTTGAAAAGTGTAGAAATATCAGAAAATAGTAAAAAAACAGCACTCCGAGACAATCCTACATTAATGGAACTAATTGGGTTTGTGTACTTCCCAGCTTGCTTTCTTGTTGGACCTATATTCTCATTTAAGAGATATTCTGACTTTTTGTCGGAGAGATTCCCATTAGATAAGGAAATAGTGAATACAAAGCATATATATGAGAGCAAAGCTATGAAGAGGCTGTTACAAGGCATAGCATACTTAGCAGCATTTCAAGTTGGAGGTAAGTTTTTATTAAAGCTGTTAATTAAAACTAATTACCCAATAATTATTAATTTGCATATTATAAAAAAATTAAGAAGCTACGATCTACACGATAAAAAAGGTACCTTGGCTGTATTGAGTTTTTATTACACTATTAATACAGAAATAAACAAGAAACTAAAACTATGTAAATAGTGATAACATTACCATGTTATCCATGTATATGTGATTGTATGTGTGTGGTTGTCTTTGTGTGCAAACATGAAGTTCCACAGTACAAATAAATGTTAATACCTTTTGTGATCTCTATTTATAAAGAAAATGAAAAGAATATCTTTATACTAAAGCTTAGAAAGTTGACTTGGAATTAATACAATCTGATTGATTTCTTTCAGGGTCCGTCTTTAATGTGAAATACATGCTATCAGATGAGTTTTGGGAGACATCAATATTTTACAGACACTTTTACTGTGGATTGTGGGCCCACTTTGCACTGTACAAATATATCTCCTGTTGGCTGCTAACTGAAGGTAACTACATTTGTATTTAACAAATTACCTATACAAAGTATTTCCTAAATTAATTTGAATACAATGCAGTATTAACTATTACTACATGTGACTTGAGTGGACTACATTGTGTATCTTGTACTTGTTAGTCTAAATGACCAATTGACCTTTCGACCTGAGATAAACTTAGAATAGTTATATATGGAATAGAAAATGGGAATAATAAGACAAAATTGTATTCAAACTTCAGTTTTATAAGAAGTTAATTCGTTTGTGACATCTAATAGCATATAAAAGATTACTGTGCATTGTGAAGCAACTTTTGTAGGAAAAAAGGCTAAGGAAAAGATGAAGACATCTTTTAAATATGGGCAATGTTTTCGACTAATAAATAGAAACAAATAATATATTAAAGTTAACATGCTTCGGCCTATTTTCTTTAATACACTTAAATTTAGTATTGCTAGTTCAAAAACTAAGAAATTATAAAAATACATTCATCCTTCTAATATTCTTACTAGTGAACATTTCACAACAAATATTCATAAAGAAATAGTTATCTTATTGAAAAAATATTAATGTTCAAATTATCATTGTCATTATTGGTAATCAAGAATCGAATTATTGAATTTGTTACACAATGCAAGATTATTGAAACTTATCAATGATGTTTACACAATGTCTTTAGTTATATACAAACATGTGCTAGTTCTGTATTCATAGAAAAATAAGCATTAGTGGGAACAATTTATCTAATATTTTTTTATGTGACTTTGACAGCATCCTGCATCAGAATTGGTATTTCATATAATCGTGCGGATGAAACACCTGGCAAGTTATCAAATTGGGACGGCTGTAGTAACATCAAATTACTCTGCTTTGAAGGTGCAACGAAATTCCAGCATTACATTGACAGCTTCAATTGTAATACAAACCATTTTGCTGCAGAGTACATATATAAACGTCTCAAGTTCTTGGGCAACCGTAATCTGAGTCAACTGTTCACTCTGTTCTTCTTAGCTCTGTGGCATGGCACTCGATCAGGTTACTATGTTACCTTTTTCAATGAATTCATTATCATTTATATGGAAAAGGAATTTGAAAGTATTATAAGCAAAACTGCGATTTACCAAGAAATGTGGCAGAATAAATTTGCCAGTTATGTTTTATACATTATTCTGAAAACATATACAATTGTTTTTATGGGATGGAGCTTGGTTCCTTTCGATGTTAAAGTAATATCGAAATGGTGGTCTATATATTCCAGTCTCTATTTTTCTGGTTTCCTTATTTTCTTGCCGTGGGGTTTTGCTTATAAACCCCTACTGATATGGTCTCTAAAATATTTTAATGTTAGAAAAGTTACAAAAACTGAATAAACAATTATGTTAATGAAATACCAAAAATTAAATAAAATGTATAAATTATCTATATAATGTACAAGAGTTATTTTGCTCTATTTAATGTAATGTGATAATATTCAATGAATTTACTTTGAACTTGAAAAAATTATGGCTACTGAATATCTTTATTATTTGTTATATATTTTTTGTATTATTAAGACATTAGGCACGTTCGTATGTATGAGTTTCCTTTTTGGTAATAGTAGAAATTGTACCACATTTTATTAGAACATTTTTGTCTAATAATTAATGTGCTATATTAAATAATGTTGTTACTTATATTATCGTACAATTAAATGCAAGTTAATGAAGTCATTTTTGTAGTATTGCATAGTGTTTTAATAGTTAATTGTTTTTTTATTTTAATGTCATATTTATGAAAAAAAATATACGCGTGAAATTATACACACAATTAAATAAAATTCTTTAGCATAATAATCCTATCAGTCATTTTTAATGTATGTTTGAAAATTATAATTCATTTGATTATATAACATGAAAGTAAATTTTTAGCTTAGCACCAATGTGTACATAGTAATATGGTTTTAAAACGCTGAGGTAATTAATTGCCGTAAATGCAACCGTAAAATGTTAAAGTGCTGATCTATGTTATGTAATAAATAGTTGTTTGTAGATAAAAAATAGACACTTTTGTCTACTTTCATTATTGCTTTCAAACCATTTTACATGTATTAATAGCTTGTGGGTTTATGCATAGACACATTAATTGTATAATGTATATGATGTGTTGTTTCCAGCAAATTTTCTCTAATATTAAGATTATAGTTGTTAGTGAGGTGTATTTCACATTTACAGTAGTATTAGTAATAATTTTAAGTGACACTGTTGTTTTTAAAATAGTAAGTTTTATTCTATATTTTGCCTGTTCCCATAGATGAATTGAATATAAAATTTAATTACTTTCAAATCGGTTTTCGATTATGATTTTTTGTGAATTATTCGACTGATTACATAATAATGATGTTTGTAGGTATTTTGTTATGCCAAATAAAGCTGTATAAATCAAAAGTATTTATTATACTCGTTTTTTTTAATACCCGTTGGATAAAAGCATCTTTTTCCAAATACGAGGAAGAATCCAATTGTATAGATCTTTTTGTGTAGAAAAATGTTTTGATCTTTTCAAAACAAATTAATAACTTGAAAAAGTAACATCAAGTTCACTTTTTTATCACTCTTATAAATTCTTGAGTATATTGTGTAGATTGAAATCTTTTCAGTTAACAGAAAGCGACAGGAGAATGTGTATCACCAGGTTACATAACGTGTTTTTTTTTATTATATTAAGTAGTTTTCCATGCAAGGGCAGATGCAGGGCAGACCTTGTATTCAATAACTTTTTGTAGTCGTAGTTGTTATATAGACGTAAATATGTACAGTCGGGGAAACCGGCGGTGTTCTACTTTAAAAGCTATAATCGTTTGAACATTTTTAAACGAGACGCGGAACAAAAACCAATACAATGCAGATTATGAATGTATCTGTATGAAAAGTGTCGGTTAGTGATATACGGTCAGATTTTTTTTTATTATTTTCACTTTGTTTCAACCACTTACTGCTATTTAATTAGTTATTTGTAGCAAGAGGCGGAGTTTGTCTCGTTGCAATGATCGATACAATTTTTCTTAAAGTGGAACACCGCGGTTGTCCGCGACTGTACCTAGGAGTTTTATTGAACACGAACACTTAGATAACGTTTTTTTATGACACCTTAACTAAGTAAAACGGAAAAAGATTCAATTATTTTTATCAAATATGTTCCTATGTCGTTGTAGAAAACAGAGAGTTTGTCGCTGGTAACCTCTACGTTTAATAAGAGAATAATGTTTTTCGGTAGGTAATACCAATTACGATTAGGTAATATTAATGTCGCGGATGATAAATAAGAACTAAGCGTACATGTTATGTGTTTCAACCCACTGTTTGATTTCAAGTACCTGATATTCTAGACTTTTTTTTTCTAAAATATCATGACCGTACTGAAATATTTTATCAAAGTATAAAATCTGAAGCTTCAGACATTGTTCGGGGCGTAGCTCGATCAATATCCAGCGTTGTTGGATTGGCTGCAGATGTTAGTTCACACGCCAACCCCGCCTCTCGGCTCAAACACAAAAGTGCTTTGCTTCCACGAATAGTGTAACCTTGGATTTCCACTGCCGAAGCACTTGTACAAATTTAAATTTTACAGGAAGGATTACGATATGTTAATGCGTAAGGAATTACAGTACAGAATTACACTTATGTAATTTTGAAAACTGTCTAACCTAAAGAAGGCAGCGACGAAATACATGTTTTTATTGTATATATGTATTTTATTTTAATTATCGGATAAATCATTCGAATGATCTACCGAATACTGGTCATGTTTATGGTAATCTCATTATGGGTGTTTTTATATGGAAACGTTAACTTAAAAAATATTCTGGCAGTATTGCATTAATTAAATTGAATGAAGCAAAACTAATTGATATGATTATAATAATTTAAATATATTATAATTAGCTACATTGCATACACTGAATAATATATAATAATTTAACATAAAATCTACTTTTATATACAAGTAATGTTGTAGAGAAGTAATTAGGCTTGTTACACAATAACTTTAACAATTGAACAAAGACCCGAACCACAGATTTAGGTTTTAAAATTTGTTATGACTAAGATTTAATTCGATTCTTTCTTCTCAATAATGTTGTTCGACTTGCAGAACATCTTAGGATCTTCGGGCACCCAAATTTTAGCGTGCAGTGTTCCAGCCGTTGGTCTCTCTCCACGACGAGACCAAGACAATGAATGGGCTTGAAAATTGCTGCCTGTAAACAATCAAATCATATCAGTTTTGTCATCAATTTTGAATTATTTACTGATGACAATCCGAAGGGAAATGTAATTAAAAATAATTACATCTTTAAACCTAGTTCGGAGTAGATAATAGATTTTAATATGTTTATATATCTTATCTACGGATTAACTTATCAAGAACCTATTTATACTTAGTAGCAGATTGATCAAATACATCATAATTACGCATAATTTTATTTTCACTATTGTGGTAAATTGATTATAGGGAACCTGTAAATAATGTATAATTTCGTAGTTCAATTTATTGTTAGATTGCTTTAAAAAATTTAGAAAACAAACATCGATTTACGCCATTACGTTTTTCAGAAAAAAATAATGTTAGCAAAAGTAAATTAGTAGTAAGCATCCTGATATTTATAGTAAAATTAAATGGCTAATCCGTGATCGGTGAACTATCAATTAGAGACATACAATAGTCGACGTACGGCCCTCGCTGAGCACAAACACAATTCTTATTTATCTGCAATTATGCTGAAGAGAGCTTAAACAATTCTTTGTGGGGGCTCTTCTAACTAAACATTTCGCGATGTGGTACAATATCGGGGTGTTGTAGTGGGGAAAAAGCGGGGGACGAGCGCACGTGCGGTCCGTTATGTCCCCTTTCTATTATTTTTCAGGGCTGTCAAACATTTATCGATACTATAAAAGATTTTTAAATGCTGCTTAATTTTAGTAATGAACGTTACATATATTACTTTATTTTATGATAATGAAAAGTACATTCTTTAACAGACCTTACTGATCGAATGATGTGGTTTAAACATTCCCTGCTGTTATGCCGGGTATATGGAATTTTGTACATAAATGATTTTTCATCCTGATTATTTTGAATTAAAAATTAAAGATTTCTTTAAAAATCCAAGCACTCCTATGAAGTATGACAAAACGCAACGGGCGATAACTACTACATATACATTTATATGTTAAAATCGCTTATATCTCTTTTCGTCGAGCTTATGAAAAATTATACAACTTTTAATAAGACTGCTAACTGCAACACTTAGATAACAATATTAAAACAAACAATGTAAACAAAAAGTCATGCTTTAACGTATAATTTTTTATTTCTTGAAAAAACATATATCGATATTTTAAGTAGCCCACCCCTGCAGTATGACGAACATTAATACAAGTGCATTAATAACAGTTTAGAACTATATTCACAATGGACATATTGAACATTTCCGGTAATTACACCGCTTGTCATGCATTTAAGTGTAGCACAAATCATGAATATCTAAATACACCGTGAATACTCCATCGACTAATTTTTCCTTTAGTTTGTAAGAAAATAAAAGGAAAATCAAATTAAGGTGGACCGCGGTAATTCTTTCCAGCGTATTTCGCTAATGCACCTAGTTCCTCCTCAATCCTTAAAATCTGGTTGTATTTACCCATTCGTTCAGATCGGGCAGGAGCGCCACATTTTACCTGGCCAGCGGATAGCCCAACCACTAAATCAGCGAGGAATAGATCGTCCGTATCCCCCCATCTGTCACACACTACAGCACCGAATCCACTTGTTTTTATCAACTTAAATACCTCTATCAATTCCGTGAGTGTCGCTGATTGGTTGATTCGGATACCCAAGGTATTACCAGCACGTTTTTCAACGGCTAATCCTACTCTTCTAAGATTAGTCTGAGTTAAATCATTTCCAAATAATTGTGCTGGAGTGCGAGAAGTCAATGTCGACCAGGCAGCCCAATCATCGAAATCAAAAGCATCTTCAAAAGAGCAAACGGGAAACTCCTTCATACTCTCAAGATATAACTCGGCAAGCTTGTCAGAGGACATATAATCCTGGGGATTGGTATTCGGATTTTTAAACTCCAAGTCATAAGCGCCATCTTTAAATAGATCAGTAGCGGAGGCATTCAAAGCTATCTCTACTTTGCCAATGTAACCGCACTGTTTAATGGCATCCGTTAGAAAAATTAAAGCATCCCTGTTACTTCGCAATGGAATAGAAAAACCGCCATTCTCGCTAACGTATGATGCTTCCATTTTAAATTTTGATATTACAGTTTTTTTGACGTATTGATAAATCTCAGTACCGAGGCGCAACGCTTCGGAAAATGAAGAAGCACCTGTGGGCATGATGGAATATTCTTGAAAAGGCAGTTCATTAGAGGTTAGTACCCCACCAGTTAGTATCGTGAAATGCGGGACTGGCATTATTATGGAGGTTACTTCAGCCATGTCAGAAATATGCCTGTAAAGCGGCATTCCTTTTTTCGCTGCTCCAGCTTTGGCAACAACCATTGATACACACATAATAGCGTTGGCTCCGAGTCTTGATCTAGTTTCAGTACCATCAAGAGCGAGCATGAACTGGTCTATTTCTTTTTGCATTGTAACTTCATAGTTTTGCTTTATAAGTTCCGGTGCGATTATCGTATTAATATTTTTAACAGCATTGGTAACACCCATTCCGTGGTATTCAGCAGGGTTATTATCACGCAATTGTACCGCCTCAGCCAACTTTTTCACATCAGTATTTGGTACACCAACTCTGAAGAGACCAAGTTCGGTAACCATATCTACTTCTACAGTAGGAACTCCTGTTGAATCGAAGATTTGCCGAGCAAGTAGTATTTTAATCGGCATTTTGGAAAAAGGTAATAAAACCCAGGAAGCCCAAAACTAAATTAAACAATTGTCAATAAAATGTCATAGAGTTTTTTTTAATACAGCCAATGTATATTTTAGTAGCCAGTTTATAAAAAAAAATAACAAGTGTATTTATATTCGTCCTGGGTCGAATGTTTTAGGAGTGGGACATTGAATCCTATGCAACGGTAGAGTCAATAGTAGTGGGGTCCAATGGTACACGTGCGCGATAATCTTTATGTAAATCCCATATTATGTTTCGATAAGGTGTTTTTATTAATTGAAAAAGAGATTATGTGGCATTCACTGAGAGATGTGTTTTTTAACGCTCTTATTATAACTATTGTGATCATATTATTAGAAAAATATTAAAGTCTTGTTATTAAAGGTTGCCAATTTAGTTTTGTACTAACTAACCTGATTTGTGAACATTGCCTGTTTATAATCGGACATTATAAAATTATAAAACTCATAGCCAATTGTGGAGCTAACGATTTGGATTAGCAACTACATAAAATATGTAAAGAGTGAGTTAAAGATTTTTCTTAAAATGTAATTGCAAATTTGCATTTATGTCTTCATTCGTATAAAAAATTTCTATCGTCATATAACAGGGTGTGAAGCACTTAATAGTTTTCGAATTCACTCCTCCCTTCTGTTTACAAAGGGTGAGCACTTAATTTGCTACAGCGTGATTCGCAAACGCAAAGCTTAACAAATACACTTTGTTAATGCATTCCCGTAACGAAAAAAATCGCGCCCCGTATTAAATATCCACAAATGTGTAGGCTAGGTCTATATATTGTAAATGTAATAATTATGTTTTTACACAACTTACAAAAAAAAACATTTTTACTAAGATAACGGTTATATCATTTTATATTTTGATTGTCGATCGATTATATTGCAGTTATGGCTGATGTAGAAGAATAGAGATGTATGAATTTGCCAAATGTTTGTGTGCCAAATGCTTTACTAACCAATAGCTCATTAGAAGAATTTGATCTCTTTTTTTTTTTAAAGGTTTTAATACACATATTTTAACAGACGCTACAAAGGAAGAGGAAGACCAAAGAAAGTATGGATGGATTGTGTGAAAGAGGATATGCTTAAGAAAGGAGTGGATTCAGATATGACGGCTGATAGAGATGTATGGAAGAGCAGCACATACTGTGCCGACCGTCCATAAGGGATAAGGGCAAGTGGATGATGAGGGAGGTGTTCCAAGACTGCGCTAAAGGAAAGTCCTTAATCTCTACCTATAGTTTCACCTAGTCGAGGTTACGGGCGTGATTTAGTATAGAAAAATATTCTAAAGTCATCTAGTTATGTGAAACTAGTTAATTATTATATTAACAATTTTCAATACTATGTCATCTGTATTTTTTTTAATAATTAAGAGAGGGTTGGTATTGAAATTTAATGAGACGATTGTTTCGATTAGTGTGGATCCCACGGGACGAGGTGCGTCACGCGACGCGCCGTGGGAAAGGCGCAGGACCAACACCTGGACCAATCGATCGCAGATATCCGCACGTTAACGTTTTATCATACTATACCTATTGTGGGGCGGAGCGATGTTTCCAAGTTTGATGGTGATAAGAGAGAATTGTTTATTAATGTTTATATCCTTTTTAAAATAAAAGGAGCATGGGAGTAGTATAAGGAGGAAAATGATGATGATGATATATAATGTGAAATGTGGGTAGCTACAAAGGTAGAAGAAGGCCAGGGAAAGTAAGGATGGATTGTGTGTAAGAGAATATGCGAATGAAGAGGAAGTGAATTCAGATATAATGGCTGAGAGATATAATTCTTGCGAAATAGTGTGACATCCTGCATGCATGTAGTCAATACTAAATTTAAAACAGAAGAGTTTATAACGCGCTCATAATAATTATTATCATCTATACTATTATAATAACGCGTAAACACACACTTCTTTGTCAGCAATTACAGCATATTTTTGAATAATTCTTTTTTTAATGAAAAGCCCTATACTTACGTCATGCTTTAGGCTATATATAAAAACCCAAATGTGGGAAAGAGACCATAAGTTGTTGCCAACATCAAGAAAGAAAGATTACTCATGTCATTTTGACATTTGCTATTGATAATTTGACAAATGTGAACAAAAATAGATTTATAAATTCATACGGATGAATCCGCACGCGAACAGCTAGTGTTTTATAAAAAAACATCTTCGCATTTTATCAACTAAATTCGCATTTTACATGATCTTCTAAAACAATTGCTTATTGTATACTGTAACACTAGCAGAATAAATAGTATTTTTTTTAAGTGAAAATTAAAAACGGGAGTTGACCCGTTTTCAATTTTCGCTTAAAGTCTCACGATAGCTTAAACAATTTATTATTGTTTTTTGTAAAAAGATGATTCATTTAATTTTTTAATGTTATTGCAATTTGGGTAACATCGCGACAATATCGATCATCAAAAGGTGCACAAACAATTTGGGGGCGGCGGGTCGCGCCCTGGTACCAATTGACCCGGCGACCCCTGATGCACTGTATGAACTATGAACCGATGCTACCCAATTGAGAACACAAACAAGCCCGCAACCTAGTAGTACAGCCAGAAACCAGATTACTATTAGGAACGGTCCTGGCACTTGGTTTGGTTTAATCAGAGACAATTATGTTTTGTCGGTTAAATTATAGGTTGGATTCAGCAAACACTTTGTGAATTACTTTTGTAAAAAAGACGTAGCCTACTTTTTGTGTAGAAAGTTTAACTACGTTTGTATTTAAAACTGTATATGTTATGTAGCTCACCTCTGATGATCACCTTTTTCTGTTCTTCCTTATTCTGAACATTGCCGACCCCACACAGCATGGTGTCTGAAATACTGCGATCAGTTCGTACCTGCCAAAAGATACACATTAGTTTTCAACTGTGCATGTAAGGTTGACTTGATTTAAAAAAAAATAATACTAGGAAGAATATTATCAAGACCAAAAGATTCGTTCGTTCCTCCATCTCTATGATTAAACTTACAAATTTTATTAATGCATATTTTAAGTGTATAGGTAAAATAGGTAATTAACAGTTTAAAATTATACGACAGGTCAAAAAAGAAGGAAATAAACCTAAAATGTCTTACCAATTCTCCCAAGAAACTTATGTAGCCGATAGCAAGCTTTAGAGTGTCAACTTTGGAGAGGCGTTTCTCGTATGGTAGAGTGGGAATGTGAGCTCGGAGACCCTCGAAGGCGTCGTTTATAGACTGCATTCGTCTGCGCTCGCGGAGGTTAGCTGCCTGTCGCTGTTGTATTTGCTGCTGAGGACAGCGCGACCGACGCTTGTGGAGACGTCGACAGTCCAACCTACAAGCATCTCTATCGTTACCATCAAACATAAATATATTCCTGCGAATATAAACGCTATAGTTTTAGTAAATCGTCCTATGATCTACTACGATTCACGAGTATTTATAGTGCAGTTGTAATCATGATTACACCATGGTGTTTTTTTTTGCTCCTATTTAGTTCGTGAGTAAATATAATACAGGGTAACTACTTCATGCATAATTGCGATCCAATCCTTATATTAATCTATGCTCCAAGACAGAATAATTCACTTTTTTCGGGATTTTCAAGAAATAATGTTTCGCAAGCATTCATAGGCAGGTAGGTATGTAAATTCACAAGGTATTGTCCTAATGATCTGAAGAATTATCATCCTGTCATAGTCATATCAAGAGGACAGTCGAAGTAATTGTTAAATTTTAGTGCCAGATGGAGTTTTTATAGACATTTCGTCATTTAAAGACCTAACTCATTTGTTTTTTTTATATGAAGGCGTAAGAGAATTTATAATTTTTGTATTTGTTGCGTTAAAAATACCCTGATTTGTGAACCACAATTGACCGGTAAAAAGGTATTGCGATTTATCTATTACAATCTACTTTTTGGCACTAAGGAAACAATAATGCTTGGCAAAAAATATACACCAACATCACTTTAAAGAATAGAGTGTACTGTGTGGATTATAATTTAAAATAGAAGATGCGGTTAGATACTTAAGTAAGATGGAACAATCGGTAGAACTAAAATACACATTCGCTAAACATATACAATCTTAGTAAACACACTAATATTATTATATAACCGCGAAAGTTTAGATGGATGGATGTTTTTTAAAGTCTGTAGCCTAGACTGCTGAAGAGTTATCAATGTAATTTGGCACAGATGTTAATGATAGTCTGGAAGAACATATAAGCTAGTTACTTTTGATTTTTTAAATTCTACGCAGATGGAGTCATGGGGAGAAGTTAAATATAAAAACACGCATAAGCAAATAACCAAAAAAATATTCGATGTTGTAATAAATTTCACCAACCTTTTCCGTGGCGTGGATAGATTTTCCTGATCACTTGCGTAGAGGCTGCCATCGGACATCGAAGAGTCATCGTAAAGATAAATATCAGAGCTATTAGCTGATGCTGGCGAGCCTCCTAATGGCACAGGTACGCCCGTGTCCAGACCTGGGCACAAACCTATGTTGATACCATCCATGTTGAACATCCTGACAGCTCTCCGAAAGTGCTGAACTTGTTTACATATTACTATACGAATTTACAAGATAATGAGCTTTCCCAACCACAGTCTAACACGTAATGATGAAGAGGGTTGTTAGATAGCCGGCCCTCGCTACAGGGTGACCCCGCCTACTTGTCATTTCTCCGCCCACGGGTTTTCCTATCCATTCAAAGAACTAATACGGATATTTAAAATTTTAGCCACCCTTTAACTAACGAAAATATATTTATGTCAAAACAAAAACAAGCTTACCTCATTGAGTAATTCTGTTAAATTTGGTTTTTAACTAATTTCAATTGTAAGATTCAAAAAATTATTTTCATAATAATGAGTCCTATCCCACTGTTAGTATTAATAATTCGAAATAAAACTGTTTTTTAATTTAATCAGTAATTTTTATTAAATTTACATATACAAATCTACAACTAAACCAGTAGCGATGTAAAAAGATAATTACTAACTATTGGCTTATAGACAGTCGAGTATTTATTTAACACCCTCTACACGGCTATTACATCGCTAAATTATTTATCTAACTAATTTATTCTAGCGAATTTTACATTTTTAATAAGTTGTAAAAGCAAACGGGAAACAATACATCCTCGAATGTTGATTACCACGTCCTGAACATGTTATATTTACAACATTAAAAAAATGCATATAATTTAACTACATTTTCATGGAAAAGCTTTAGTTGTTGTGCTTCAATAGTCCATCGCGGTAATAAAGCGCCTCTCAATTTGGACCAAATGTAGATGAAAGTTTGTCGTGGACGAATTATTCTGAATATAGAGGAATATTTAAGCCTAGTACACATACTAAACTGAGTGAAATATTACATCAACCGTCTATGATTTCAAAATAAATTTTATTTTGAATAAATACTTTATAAAAGTTATCTAGCAGTTTACTACACAAAAGCGCTTGCTCTAACTTTTAAATTCGCCGCTGTTAAGCTGACAGCACGTAGAAGAGTAAGCGCGGGAAATCCATTAATTGCGTCCTTCCTTTTCCTTTTACTATGTTTGAAGTATCTGTTTTTTTTATTACGGAGTTATATTTAAAATAACTAAAGATATTAGATAAAATTAACCATCATGTATCATAATCATTCAATACATAGATTGATAACATGACTTCAAAAATACTTATTTAAAAAAATCTCTCTTTTAATGAATAGTGGGAATCAATCATAGTTATTTCGATGATCTTTCTGACATCAAGGTTGGAGAAAATTGAAAGTATGATCAACAAGATAATTTTTAATTCATAAACCTTGAACTAATAGCTGTCAGCTGTCAATGTCAATTATCGATTGGCATTTGACTGTCAAATCTTGATATGCAAGGCGAAGTTACAGTATTTTGATAAATTTATGTTTTAAGTATACTTTTTAGTACCTGAAATACAGTTATTACTGCGAGTATGTTTATTGTCGGGCTCACCGGAGGATTGGCGACGGGAAAAAGTACAGTGCTATCAATATTTCGTGATAACCATATAGCAGTAATTGACGCCGATGAAGTTGCTAGAAACGGTACATTAAAAATGTTGAATTTATTATACTAACAAACTTATATTTAACACTTTCATAAGCTCTTTCCTTATCGCCATCGCTGTACAATTTTATTTCAATATACATAACATCTTATAATATTTAACATCACATTGTAATTTTAGTATTAGAACCGGGAACGAAGGCATGGAAAGAATTAAGACATTATTTTGGCGATGAAGTCTTACACCCCGACGGTAAAGTGAACAGAGTCAGACTAGGCGAGATAGTATTTGACAATATAGAGAAGAGGCGGCAACTCAATGCAATAACACACCCTAGAATACAGAAAGCTATGATGAGTATGGCCATGATGTATTTCTTTTCTGGTCATAAATACATTGTAATGGAAGTTCCATTACTGTTTGAAACTGGAAAAATGTTGACATTTATGCATAAAATAATCACAGTGATCTGGTAAGTATTTTGTCAGCCTACACTTAGATTTCACTAATTATATAACAGATATTTGTATAAATTTTTACTACAATTGGTTCTATTGCATATTGCAGTGAAGATCATCAACAACTTGAAAGATTATGCAAACGTAATAATTTCTCAGAGGTGGTAGCAAGAAAGAGGATAAGCTGCCAGATGCCACTTGAACAGAAGATGGCAAGATCTCACTTTGTTATTGATAACTCCGGTAACATTGAAAATACAGTGAAACAAACTGTATCTATAATTAAAGTATTGCAAAGATCGAAATTCACTTGGTGAGTAAATATAATGCTTAATATTTATTTTATATAACACATTTAACTAAAGTGTAAGCCCTCGAAGAACTATATCAGCTAATAACAATTTCTTTCTAATTCTATAGAATGTAAAAAATTCTATAGAAGGTATAGAATTAGGGTAAGAGATAAATATTTTAGAAGTACAGTAAATGGAAATCAGTACTTTCTTTCTACCTTGACAAGTAGAATACCAACACCGCAAAACCGATGGCTTTTTTACATTATATGGTTTCTTTTCAGGTATTTCCGAGTTATTCTTCTAATTGGTTTTCTATCAGTGGCATTTGGTGTAGGGCATATAATAAGTAATTTAATTAATAAGGAAACATAAGTACTAATGTATTGTAATTGCATTTTGTACCAGTAATCTCATTAGACTTAATGCATTTAATTTATACCATATGAAAAATGTAAAAACATATAATAATATTATTTCTTTGTTAAAAAATTATGGGATAACCAATTATGTGCTTAACCAGTGAGTTAATCTTGATTATATCTTATATTATGGTAGCTTATTATTATTAGTTAAGGCACAGCTAAATTTAAATATACCTTTTCAAACAAATATATACTCTTCTTATTCTTAGTCAAAACATAGATGTAAAAAGTAGTCAACTTTAGGTTATAATCTTACAATGCCAGGTATTGCCATAATATTCACTTAATTCTTTGTGTTTTCTTTTCCATATGTTTGTTAAATTATTTTCAATTAATACTGTGCCCTTTTCTGATTGTTTTTTTTTATTGTTGTAGTTTTATTATAATAATAAAAGTCAGCAATTTTTTATGTTTGTGAACTGTGTAACTGTTTGTAATTTTTAATAATTGTCTATATATTTACTCCGGACAATTTTATTCTCTGACACAGCTTTGTCATCTCTATAGTGTATATCTCCAAACATTTTGCCGTAGAAGTCCGAGATAACAGACATACTGATTATGTGAAGATTAATTGGTTGCTAGGCTCTATAAGTGCATTATTACTAATGAAGATACAAGTTTTATAAGCAGAGGCTACTGTATGTTGGTGGGGTGAACCTGGCTTTGGCTTGGGTTTTTTTCTGGCTGGTTGCATTATTAGTAACATTCCAGTCATTGATATGATATTTATACTTCACAACCAAATTCATATACTATTTATTTTATAGCATTGTTTCATTGGAATGTGCATTTAGTACTGTTATTGTACAATAAGGAATACGCACAAACAAGTCAGTAGATAAGTTCGTTAAAGTAAGTGTATAATTATTGTATTTTGTTTTGATGACATACATAAATAACTTTTACATAGGTTTAAGAAATATTATCAATGTAATAGTAATGTAATGGTAGATTACAACTACATATAAAAAAAAAAACAAAATTGACAATTTTGATCATTAAGGGTGAGTTGCACCATATCGCCGGTTACCGTTAAAGTTAAAATTATTTGTCACGGTAATATTTGGAATAACCTTAAAATTTACTTACTATAAACCTTAACCAGCACATTCACGATGGTTACGTCTACGGATGTTCATGATATTCGCTACACCAGTTTTGCGCTGGTCAAAATGACGTCATATATGACACTAATCATAACCGCCCGATTTTGGGCGGTTATAATTAGCGTTACGGTTAGTGTCAGTTCGGTAGTGTCAACTGTCACAAGCTCTTATCTTCAAAAGTACAAATAATGGAAAAAGTAATGGAAAAAGAAAATCTCTACTATTATCCTATACGTAATCCAGAAGAATAAAGTCTTGCATGCTCGGGAATAATGGATTTCCAAGATGGAACTCGAAATTTGGCCAATCATTCAGTTTGGACAAATTTCGAGTGTCTAAGGCCATAGCAACAGCGCTTGTCCCTTTTCTCTTATTTAAAAAAAATGTCCTCCATAAAAGGACAATTTATAATATGCATTGAGAGGACAATTTATAATATGGCAAATAAATAAGATGCATTTATATTTGTATAATTTTATTGTTTCATTTTTGCTACATATTTGAGTAGTAAAGTAAATACAGTTTCAATAATGGCCCAAACTAGTTTATTTTCACAAGAGTTCGCCATTTTCTCCATCTCCGTGGGCAAAAAGTTTATGTCACTATAAAATACCATGCGTATGATACATAAATATATACGGCGAAACATGAATTTCCAAACATTTTAATTTACGTAAATGTCATTCTTGACACCAACTTGACACTTTAGTGACATTCAGGTTTAAATGTTTCCATTGTAAAAACGAAAAACACATAAAACCTCTGTGAGAATATGTTTTTGCACTTGTAACCCTATTAACTATAACTATAACTTTTACGATAACCGGCGATTTGATGCAACTCACCCTAAGTATACTGTATCAACAAATACGATTTTCATTTGATTAAGATATTATTAAGAATTAGCTTCTCCTATATCTCTTATTTGGCTTTAGCCAAGAAATTGTATGTATGTTGCCATAAAATTTTAAACATTGTTGATGTAAGTTTTTAATTCTTAAGTACATAGTTTTTCACTTCAATTCGTATGTTACTACGAGTTTTCACTACCGAAACATGTACGTAAACATTTTGTCAAACCTCTCGTTTTCTTTGAGACAAACATACGTTTTGTACAGATGTCTCGATAGTGGGAACAAATTTAGCTCATGGTTAAGTTTAAGTAGTCTTAGAGAATGACAAACAAAAACACATTAATTAAGGAATAAAGCCACATTCATTAAAGAAGTTTTTTTTATCTCTGCAGTTTTATTAATTTTCAAATTCACAGGTAAGTTAAAGTAGGGTTTCGTAAATAACTTCCATATCTCAGCGTATATAAATTTTTAGGAGCACGCGCACACCTTTGACAACTGTTTAGTCTCAGTTCGAATCCTATGAGCTTATATGGAGTTACGCACACTACTCGATTTTAATTCTGCAACTAAAGTTCAATTGGCTTCGAAACAATCAACAATCGCACAACTGTTGTGCGATATTTTAGCCTAAAGTGTGCGCCCGCTCTAATACTACAAACCATGGTGCAGTATCTTAGCTGACATAGTGCATTATAAAGTGAGATCACACATATTCAACTGTTTTTTTATTACATATTTTTTTCTATTATTTACTTCTACCTATGTTATGTATTTGCTTTTAACACTATATCGACGTACGATATGTCTAAGTTTAAATAAAGTATCATTTTTTGATTCTGTAGTTGTTTCAACTGTGGTTGTCTCGGCCGCCGTCGTAGTTGTAGCAGAAATTAGCGATTCATGACCTTGGTCTTTTTCAAATTTGTCACTTAATGGATCATAGCTGTACGAACCGAATATAGCACTAAAACAAATATTAATACAGTTTTAAATTGATATAGGTTCTTAATTAGCTTCTGTAAAAAAGACATAAAAATCACTCGTTAGAATGTTTTAAATATGGTATGCATGAATATCAATGTATGACAATGTGTACCTTTTAAAGCCTTCTTCTAAAACGAAACGTGGCAGCAGTTCTATACCATTGCCCGTAGCACTGAAGAAGAAACTAAAAAAATCTTGAAGTAAATTTATTTTAATAATTAAGGAAATTATAGTAACAGCCTTACTTTAAGATATGATATAAGCATTTACAAAGTAAAGGATTACAATTAATTTGCTTACTTGATGAAAAATCCATAAACATGTAAAAGTAAAAATGCGAACATTTTTAAAGCAACAGTTTTGATATTAAAAATGTTTTTCTGGCTTAGTTTTATTTTATGCGTAACAATAATTTTTATCGTCTCAGATTTTATTAGTTTTTCATGCAATCTTTACTCATACCTATTTTGAGTTCGTGTAATAAAACGAGTACAACAGGGTTTTGTTGTATCAATAACAGCATAGACCCCAAAAAGATGGTCACCCGTAATTTTGGTGAACATAAAAAAAAACTACGGTACGTAATAGGAATAGAAGTTGCCATCCAAAGGGGTTGTGAACAAGTCTGAGCATTGTTCGTAGTGCCCACAACGGTAGATTCGAGAAGGCAACAGAAGTTGCTGCTATACTGTTCTAAACTGCAACTTGGCCGAGGATGTGGCACGACAACAAATAACAGCGCCATGTAATAGCACTTTATCTATACCATATACATCTGTTTTATATATGTAGTCTGATTTACTTCGCAGTAAAGTAGCGATAATTGAGACTACTACGTCGGATAGTCAATTCCTCTTCTGTTATTATTTTATTTATTAATTCACCCCATTTCTTCCGAAAGAGATGATACTTTTTGTTCATATGCTCAGTTTTGAATTATACCGCCGCTATTGTAACAAAAATAATACTTATAATTATTAACATATTTTTAGAAGGAGAATAAATTGATCGTAATAAAATGAATGATATTAAAAATAACGAAAAATAATGCAACAGTTTATTTTTGAGAAAGCATTAAATTTTTGAAAGTTAAAACATAAAAGTCATTAGTTACCTATGCCGCGTAAAATGGAACGGGCTTTTGTTTGAGAAAATCACACAGCTGTCATTTTTCAGTGGTTTATTTTCGTCATTTCGTTTGTGCAGTGTATTCATCACTCTATTAGCCTTGCTAAATTCTTTGTATCCTTGAACTATTTTAGTTTTTGTTTATTCGAGATTTTTGATTCTCGTACCTATGTGTTCAATACATTTAATATTTGTTATAAATACCATTCAGTATACAAAAGAAAACTATAATCTTTTGAAAGTCTTATGATTCTGGGCCAAAGTCAATAACTTGTAGACAGCGTAAGTGGCCTCTGCGAAGAATAATTAGGCGTAGAAACCAAACGCAAGTATTGGAGGTTAAGACGAAATAATGACACAGTATAGACGGGATATAACGTATAGCGCTCTGAACAACGAATTAACTCCGCCGCTGGGAAGATCTGTGCAAGATGCCAATGCAGCTCCAACTATGATCACTTTGGACCACGAACATGATGATACCACCAATGTTATCATTCACAAAGTACCAAAAACTAAAGGTAATCTCTATTTAATTTTTCCTTTGTTTACGTACGCGATTAGAACTCTATTTATAAACAACGCAGAAAATACCACGCAATAAACTACAAATTTATATGAAAACAATAAATCCTTTGTTTAATATAAGCATAATAAAAACGTGTTTCAATGAAAAGTAAACTTAATTGATAAATACAATTAATGAATGTTTACATGATGTTACAAATAACATTTACAAAATTTAATACAATGATGATAACAATATGTTAAGAAATATTTTTTTATGCAAGTCATTTGTCATAATTACTTTATAACCAATAAAATAGAGAAACTGTTTAGAATAAAAGTTACCAATGTAAATTAATAACTTTTCATTATAATCTTAGCTTTTAAATATAAGTCTAAAGTAGTATCTGATACCTTTTTTTTAATACTCTCTTAGAGTGGGCTCTGAAATATGTCGCAATGGTACAACTGCTGTTCGATTGTCAATTGTTCCACAGCCAATTCAACTGTTTAGTTGCACAACTAAAAATTGAATAGTTTGTGTTCCTCCATATAAGCTCTCCATATAAGGACTCTTAATCTTAGCACATTCAACGCTACTTATTTAGCATGTTCATTTTCATACAAAATGGTTAGAGTCTCATCATTTATTTTAACACTAACATTAAAAGTCATTTATAGACAACAAGTGAAAACATAAATCCTCATTTGATATGAGTTTGGTCAAATTAATTGTATTCATAATTCTTTTTTGTTGTAGGTGGATGGACACATATTGAAGACCTTGATTCATTCTTCACAAGAATGTACAAATATTATGTTCGTGGTGGATTCTATCCTATGATTATGTCCGATCTATTTTATCTATTACAATTTATATTTATTGTATGGTTCTCGACTTTTTTAATCCACTGTGTTGACTATCCAAGGTTGTTCAGAAATGATGCAAATGCAAATCGAAGTGAGAAATTATCCATTAGTGATGTAGTTTACCCTACATCAGAATGTGTGAATAGAATATCATGGAAATGGTAAGTTTTATTGTTTTATTATGTAGAACTTGTACCAAAATTACATATTAGGCAAATTCAACCATGTTATCAGATCTGTTTGATGGTCTTTTATTAAGAAAAAAGTATGTAATAATGACTATTACTTTTCAGGTGGTGTGTGATCACATTATGTACAATTATTTGGTTTATGCGATTGTTTTTATCAATATACCATTTATATCACGCATATGATACGAAATTATTTTATAGTAGCGCTTTAAAATTAAATGAGGTAAGTGTTGAAAGTCTCGTTTCCTATTGCATCGACAATAATAATATGTAGTCTATAATTTTATGATATACTAAATGTTTGCTCGCGACTTTGCCCCCGTGTAATTAACCAATAATAAAATTATAGCCTATGTTACTCACAGATAAATTACCCTTCAAATGGTGAAAGAATTTTATGAAATTGGCCCAGTAGTTTTTACATGAATAAAATATATACATAAATACAAATGTTTTCTCTTTATTATATTAGTACAGATTGTATTGCTATGCATAAATACAAATAGAGATTTTTTTATACTTTGCATTAATGACATAGCTTGTTGCACATGTTTTTTTCTTTTGTGTTCTGATGATTAGATTGAATTTTATGGAAACATATTGTAGTGTAACAATTGTGTCCTATTATGCAATTAGTTCACATATACCATTCTTACATGTCTTTATCCTTGAGGATTTTTGTTGAAATGTAATAAAAATCCTTCAAATTCCTAACAATGTGAAAGTTTGATTTGTAATTCATATTAGTCATGAATACATTGAGTCAAATCAGTGCTCGCGTGGTATTATTTTCATGAATGTTTTTGTTATTTTCAGAATGATTTAGCATGGATAAATTGGTCAACAGTTCAAGATAGAGTAAGGGAAGCACAACCTGAACATCACATGTGTGTTCATAAACAAGAAATCAACGAATTAGATATATATCATAGAATACTCAGGTACATTCTGAATATATAAGAATAACATTGCTATATTAAAAATTTCTCCCTTTTATTATAAGTTAATTAAAGAATGATTCACAAATTTTAACTATAAAATTCTCTTTTGTGTATGATAATTCATTTTCTCTTTATCACAGTTCAATTTGGTTACAACATTTTTATTTATTTCGTTCACGTGGGATAAAAAAACAACAAAAGTATGTAGCCTATGTATTCATTCAGCCTATGTTCCACATCAATGCTAAATTTCATTGATATCTGTTCAGCCGTTTAGGCTACAAACTCTAACAAACATCCATCCATCTAAACTTTCGCATTTATAATATTAGTATGGTAATACTTAATAGTTTGTGCGTACAAATTAGTAAATTGCAATGTGATGTTACATTTTAAAAACTTTTTATTTATATTCCTCGTATTTTTTAGGTTTGATAATTATATGGTTGCAATGGTTAACAAGAATCTACTACCTCTGCAAATTCATGTGCCTTTTTGTGGTGATTTTCATTACTTGTCCAGAGGTTTGAAATGGAATTTGGAATTTCTGCTGTTCTGTGAGTTTGTTCTTTAATTTATTAAAAAATGTTTAGTATTCTAGATAATATAATGAATGTTGGTTATATTAAAATGATTTTGTTTTACAGCCAGTCCATGGAGCCCTTGGGAGAACTGCTGGCAACTTCGTGAATGTTATAAAGATCATTCCAAGAGAATGATGCTTGCAAGACAACTAAATAGACAGATATTGCTTCTGGCGTTTGTTAATTTCTTACTAGCACCACTAATTCAGGGCTGGCAGATACTTTACTTCTTCTTTAATTATGCGGAGGTATACTTTTATATTATTATAACATGCTTTTATATATTAACATTTATAAGTTTAATTTATTATAACTACAAGAAATCCACACTTAAAAATTGATTCAAAGCAAAAGCAATCACTCTATTTACTTTGACAATATAAAAATAAATAACTACCTCTTATTATAAGAGTTTCTACATGTCCTTTTTGATGACATTGTGCTATGTATACACTTCTAAATACAATCTGAACACTTTTTTATTTCATTTTTAATTAATATTGATTGTTATATCTAGTTGATAAAGCGTTCACCGGCTTCGCTGGGTTTGCGCACGTGGTCATTGTACGCTCGCGTCACTTTGCGCCATTTCAACGAGTTGGAACACGAATTACGCGACAGACTCAATAGAGCTCATAAACCAGCGACAAAATACCTCGCGAGTTTCTCCTCTCCTACCACTACTGTTATTGCCAAGTAAGTTTGTTTTACACATTTAGTAGGAATTTTTAACCCTTTATTAATGGTCAATTCAAGCATCTTCCATGTCTTATATTGTTATTATCTTACTGTATTCAAAACAATCATACTAATATTAGATGGATGGATGTTTGTTACTTTGTAGCCCTAACTGCTAAATGGATCTCCATGAAATTTAGCTTAAATGTATAGTCTTAAAGAACACATAGGTTAAGTACTTTTTTTTTAATTTTCACGCAGAGTTGCGGACAAAAGCTAGTATTAAAATAAAAGCAATTTTAGATACATGAATATCATTGTTTCAAAATAAATTTATCTCATTTGGCTTGTGTACAAGTTTTAATAATGTAGAATAGATACTTTGTATTGTAAAACAGAATATTCGTGCCAATTACTTCGTAATAGCACTCGCATGTTTTTTAATTATTTAAATGTAGCTGATATATGCGAGCACTAATTAATATCAGAATATGAATTCTTAAGAAATCATTGCAAGTATTTTGTACGATTGATTAAGAGGACAAGATTCGTTTCAAACATTTACTTGTCCTTTAAGTGATTAACCACTTTTTTATTTTCATACGACTCCTAGACAAAGAATTATTTAATCTCGGTCTTTCTCTATCTTTTTTTTTCATAATATTATTTTTTTTTCTAGAAACATCGTGTTTCTGTCGGCGAGTGTCCTCGGCGTGTTGGTCGTGCTCTCGGTGTACGATGAAGACGTCCTCACTGTTGAACACGTACTTACTATCATCACCATATTGGGATGCGTTTTGGCTGGAGCTAGGTATCTCTATCTATCTTCTATCTATACATATAATAAAATTGAAGTGTCTGTTTGTAAAATCAAAAGAAAAGTTTCAGTTTTCGGAAGGATGATTTCGACTTATATTTATGATGATTTTTGAATTGTATTTAAAAAAATTTTGTCTGTCTGTCTGTCTCTCCGCAAGTCGCGTTTGTTTCGGGTAGTCTCCGAAACGTCTGGACCGATTTCGACCGAACTTTGACTGACATAGACGGCTCTATAACTCGCTGTTTTAATAATTTTGATAGAGAATTATGTCTTAACTGCCGCAAGTTATAAATGATGTTTTCATGTTCATAATTAGTGTTGTTTTTCAGAGCTCTGATAGGTGAAGAGGAGCGTTTAGGAGGTGGATGTACTGGTCCTGCTCGTGGTGAGGAGTTGTTCGTCCAGGTGTTGGGACATGTGCACTATTTACCTGCAGCATGGCGCGGCCGAGCTCATACTAAAGATGTAGCAGCACATTTCCAACAACTCTTTCAATTCCGAGCTGTAAGTATTATTTATATAGGGAAATTAGCTATTGTAATTTGTCTCTTGGCCCCTAAATGCATGTTTTTTTAATACCATAAATTGAACATAGGTTAAGGGTAAATAAAAAAAAATGTTTTTTCAAAATAGTCTATTGTGTAACGAAGAAAACACTGATGTATAAATACATTATCATGTATTTAATGGTTAATAGAAATTATTTTCTACAGTGGGTCAGAGGTTTATGTACTGGATTTGTAATCTAAAAGTACTGGGTTGAAATTCTGCCCTGTACCAATTTTCGGTTTTTCAATTTCATATGTACATAATTTACCCAACATTCTTACGGTGAATATGTGTGATGCTTTTATATTTATTCAAATACACTTTTATTTATAATTCTAGTAGCTTTCCATTGCGTGGATTTAAAAAAAAAAAAAAAAGTATGTAACCTATATGATCTTCCAGATTATCCTCTATATCTGTACCAAATTTAATTGAAATCCGTTCAGCCGTTTAGGTAACTCTAACATCCATCCATTTAAACTTTCGCATTTATAATATTAGTATGATTTTGTTTATTTAATGTTATTTGTTTTATTTCAGGTGTATATTTTGTTCGAGCTACTAAGTCCTCTCCTGTCGCCGTTGGTGTTACTCTCGCTAAGATCGCGTGCCCTTGATATTGTTGACTTCTATCGAAATTTTACAATCAGTGTGCTGGGAATTGGTGATGTGTGCTCCTTTGCTCAGGTTATTTTTTTAATTTATTATAAACAACTAATATTAAAGAAGAAAGATTCGTATTTTTGTATGTATTGAAATGACTCAAAAACTACTGGGGTAATTTCAATAATCCTTTCACGTATCAAAAGCTACATTATCGATGATTTATAGACCATATTTTTTTAATTTCACGCGGACGAAGTCGCAAGCAATATCTAGTAATTTAAATATTCATTACTATAGAAGTTTAAACCATTATTTTTAAATGTATGAACGAGTCAAAATATTACTATACTATAGTAATAAAAATTCCATTATATTGTCTATTTTAACATATGAGAGTTAACCTTCAGTTAAAATTTTGTGTATTTTTAGCTTGACATCAGACGCCACGGTCATCCGGATTGGCAGGCAGCGGGAAAATACGGTGAAAAGATAACAAGTAAGTTCTCATCGGATCCTATTAATTTAAATATAACTTTAATGTATATATTTTGTCATAGATCTTGTGGTGACAGTTTTGACGCATTCTAATTAATATCTCTACAATATTTTAATGTTTCAATAAATAAATGTGCAACCTATTCTATACATCTCTTATCAGCAGTCATACTTAAATTCACTCTGTAAGGCTATACTTCGCTTTTGTTACCTTTTACCTTTGTAGTCACAATATTAACATTAATAATGAAGAATGTACATATTCAAGCGCATAAGCTTTACTAATTGCCTTATGACGTCACAAATTAACTGTAGGTAAAATTACTTTTGATTAGCGACATCTTTACTTGAATGTATGAATTATTTGAAAATGTATAGTGGTAAATTCATGATATTTCACTTTTTAATCAACGATAGCGATAATTTAATATTACATAGCTGAGACGGTGGTGACGCAAATTTTGTGTACTGTTAGGATGGTGTTCTGTGGGTCCTTTAAAAAAACACACACACACAATTCATCTCCTGCTATATTTGTTGTATAAAATAAAAAGGTTACAGAATTACTGTTAACGACTATCGGACTGCCAATAAACGGTCTATGCGTAGCCTTTTCTAAATATTGGAACCGACGCAGATTTTTGATTACCGTTTTATGCTGGTAACGACTTGTTCATAACAGTACGTTTCATCTTACCAATATTATAAATGCGAAAGTTTAGATGGCTGGATGTTTGTAAGAGTGATGAAATTTAGGATCGACCTATCGGATAGTCTGTAACAATACATAGGCTACTTACTTTTGTTTTTTTAATTCAAAAGCAAGTGTTAAAATAAAGTGTTATTTACAGCTGGCAATGCTCAATATAACCAGGGTGAGGGTGGTAAGACCGAATTGTCTCTGGTCGCATTCTCTTGCCGTCACCCCGGCTGGCAACCCGCCGAGCCAGCGCAGCGACAGTTCCTACGATCTCTACGTCAGAGTATGCATCATGCTATACCAACTAATAATGCTTTGGTAAGTTAAAGATATCAGGTTAAAATGAAAGGAACAAATTATTATTCAAAGATAACTTGTTGTATAGGACTCTGGTTGTACCAATTGTTGATAACTGTTGTTTTTCAGTAAGTTTTATCGACATGTACGTTATAATCTCTATATTTTAATGAAATTCTTCGTTTCTATGAGGCAAATTTATTGAAAATTGAACAAAACGTCAAATAATCAAAATATTGCTTCTGAGAGGTTGCATGGTTTTCATTTTAGTCTAACTAAAATGCCGTTAATTTTGATGTTTTTAAATTCATGATCTTTTATTTCAAAGTTATTATGCACCTTCTGTTTTCAAAGATAAATTTCTAATATAAAATTAAATTTTATTTATAAAGTATATTTGTATCCTAAAAAGACAATAGCGTGGAAAGATGATCACCATTGATGATCATGAAAAAAACATACGTTTTATGATTTTTAATACTAATGTTATTTATAAATGTTTCAGAACAAAACAATGCTTGGCTCCTACATCCAACAGAGTGTTTTCGGCACAAACACGCCGTTGCCCGCCGTTCTATCTTATTACCAGCAACAAAAACCAGCCTATAGGTTACCTGTGAGTACAATAATTAATTATTTAATAAACTATAAAAAAGTTCTTTTAAATAATGTCAAGTATTACTAATTTTAATTATTAAACATTTTATTATTTTACAAAAGTATTCATCTTCATCATTAACAGTGGTAGTGCCCGCTTTAACATTAGCAGTGCAGGGCCGGCACGCCCCCAGTAATACCACGACCACACAGAAGACAGGCGTGAAGTGGAAGCAATTCCGTGTTTCGTCTCTGATGAGTGTGGTGCCGGAGGCAAGTCCCTTGCTCCTTACCACTCTTTTCTTATAAGGAGAAGTTGGAAAGAGGAAGTGGATTTGACGGTGGGGGAGATGCATGGGAAGGGGAAATATCCTCTTTATGTGCGTCTCCTCCTCCGTCGTATAAGGGTAGGCAACGCATCTGCAATTGCGGATGTCTATGGGCAGCGGTCGCTTCGCCATTTTGGCGCTTTCAGGTGGCCGATTGCTCGTTTGTCACCTTATGTTATAAAAAAAATCTCTCTGTTTTCTTTGGAGATTGTAAGAAAAAGTGTTTGCATAAATGTTTCTACAATACCACTGTATAATTATATACTGACTAGCTGTTCCCGTGCGGCTTTATTCGCATGATTTCGTATTACACACACAATTTTACATAAAGTGTGTGTTTAAAATTTGCGCTTTATTGTACTAAGTACTAGCGTTAGCCCGCGACACCGTTTGCGTGGAATTAAAACAACAAAAGTAGCCTATGTGTTCTTTCAGACTATCTTCTACATTTGTACCAAATTTAATCAAGATCCGCTCAGCCATTTAGGTTACAAACTCTAACAAACATATATCAAAACTTTCTCATTTATAATGTTAGTAAGAAAGATATAGATTCAATCTTATGTTTTTTAATTGTCAATTAAATATTTCAGGATATGGATGAAACTAGTGATGAAGACGAGTGTACATCAACTTCTGTGTCAAGGAATGTGGGTTCCGGTGTATCCGGTATGGGTAACCCTGACTCCGGGGTCTCTATCCCGGGACCTCTGAGCCGGTATGACCCCAACGTACTATTAGAATCCCCGGACGAGGCAAGGGATATGTCAGTTAGCACGCTCCATTTATACGACTTGCATCTATCACAGGTAACTTTTACATATTTATAATGTATAGTTAAATTTTGCTTGTGTAATAAATTAACTGACAGATAAGTTACTAGTATATTAAACTAGTTGATAAGTTAAACTTAACTGATAGATAAATTACACTCCAAAAAGGGAATTTAGGGAACTGTATAGTTATACAGTACTTTAAGGGGCTGTCCCAAATTGTAAATTGCCTGATAACAATGCAACATGTAAAATATGTGATGGAAATATCGGATTTTGTAACCTTATCTGATAGTGACGTCATATTTAAGCTATCTGAGCCTCTATCTGTCAGCGGTGGGAGAGGCCCTAAATTTAAACACAGCATGCCTCTTTTCATTCGAATTATTATAACATAAATAAGAACACATAGGTACTTATTACGATTTTAATCTGCGCGGACATAGTCGCGGGGTAAAACTGATATATAAATAAAAAAAACATAATAAAAACACGCTTTTGTCGCATGAAAAGTATTGTATTCCTTCCGATAGAAGAGCCTTTGAGAGAAATAGTGTTTTTGAATGAATTTAACTATATTCAATTGATCAGAAATAGAGAGAGGATTTTCTAAGGGAATGGATTCAGAAATGATGGCTGATAGACATGCATGGAAGAACAACACTGTTCCTACTCTCTGTAGGGACAAGGGAAGTTTAATATCATAATATAAACATATCTGTTACTAGCTGTTGCTCGCGACTTCGCCTGCGTGAAATTAAAATATTAATAAAAAAATGTAGCCTATGTTATTCACTGATAATGTAGCTTTTTAGTGGTGAAATAATTTTTGAAAATTTCCCAGTACTTTTGGAGTTATTTAAATACATACAAAAACACTTTTTAATATTTGTATAGACGAATAACTTTTTTTCTATATATAGGCCGGCCAAAGTGTATCAGCGTGTTGTACGAAGAACTGCAGCGAACGCAATCGCAGCGAATCCCGTTGGGCGTCCGGGGAAGAAACTCCACTTCTACATCGTCCTTAACAACCCAAAGCCGACCCAAAAACCCAGCCCGTATGGATATAAACATGTAAAACCTTATTGTATCTACAACGTCAATTAATCTACCAACTATACATCATGTTTTACAAAACTGTCGTAGTTGTTTTTTTATCGTATCATAAATGACCAATGTCTTCCTTTAAACCCCTCTAAACTCATTTTTGATTTTTAAGCCAATTTTTAATTGATATTTTAATCTGAAATCAATCAAATAGATGTTATTTTTAATAGTTATTGTCTAAAATTATGATGCACTTATTCTTTTTCGCACACACTTTTTAGATGTTTTTACTTTTGTGTTTGGGAAAAAACTTAGGTTTACCATATGTAAAATACAGAATATTTTAATTGATGTCCGTATACAAATTTAGTAACGTTCAACTGGATGTTTGTAATCAAAGATTTGAATACATAAATGTTATGTTATTTATACTAAGGACAAAGAATACCGAAATGTATGGAATATCCATACTGTAATTAATTAATTGTATATATTTTCGACAAGTTCCTTTCTTTCATCTCCAAATTACAGTAATGGAAGTTTTTCAAATCTACATAAAGTGGTTATTATCATGATAAAATTTTCCTATTTGATTTTATCCTTTGTGATATTTTTAACTGATTGTAAGTTTATATTAATAACCCATTTTAATTTAGTTATTAGTTCATCTGTGATTTAATTTTACGTTTTTTAATAACATATGAATCGTTATTATTTACCCTGAATTATTTGTACATACCCATTACTAAAGCCAATAGCCCATTTTTTAAAATTTATAATTATCTTTTAAAATTAAAAGATGAATGTACATTTATAATACATTATGTATTTAAATCTTTGATTCAGATCGTAGGAGGTAATTATTGAACACGATCTGGAAAGAGATAGATAGTTGTAGAGCGCTATCTCTGTCGCAAAGTTCTATCACATTCATTACGGAAGTGTGCGACAGAGACAACATTATAACTGCGATGTCTGTCTAAATTTGATATGTTCAACGTTTGTTGTCGATTAACGAAGAATTCCACTGCTGTGACACTTGTATTATTGTAGTTTCTGCTTTATCAGTAAGAATGTATGTGTTAATAATATAAACGGCAGTGAAATTCTATCTTTTATAGTATTAAAGCATATTTGACAATATAAGTGATGTTGCGACTTCGTTTTTTGATGTTAGTGTAAGATTGATTGGTGTTATTACTATAAGGTCTTTCGTATTTATACGTGATGTGAATTCAGGTTTAGGCTAATTTTAAGGGTCGGCTGTGTCTTGGATCTAGTAAAATTTAGTTTTTTTATTACGTTCAAAGAAAAACAAATGGTGATGGAATGATTACTTGGAAAATTCATAGCCAGGACAGTGAGAAAAATAGATGTTGTTCGAAAGAAATTGCAACAGCTTTAGTACAAGTAAATTTTTAACTAAAATTTATTTGTCGAATAACTTGTATGAAACATGTAAAAGATTTGTTTATACATGTATTTTGGTAGTGAGGTAAAGGGCAAAGACGGTGCTTAATATTTTAAGGATTACGTGTGCAAGCCAGTAATGTTATATATGTTATAAATAAAAATATACTATATATATACAAAAATCTTTTTTACAAATAGATACATCGCTTGATTGTTCCCAAATTCGTAACTTTATATATGTATCGGGATATGTATCGTAACATCGGAAATACAGTTTTTCAAGCCTTTTTAAAATTATTTGTACTAATGTTGTCAATTTATTAAGAAAACAAAATCACCGTAATTGGTATTTCTATGTATATTTACTTTCAAACGCACATAATAAGCGTCGAATTATAAAGGCAGAAGGATACAAAATAAATTACAACTCGTCTATAATTTAATAGCTTTCATAATTAAATCGTGTATTGCAAAATATGTTTATTGAATGTCGAATTACACTTTAAATGTTACTTTGGCATAAGATTTACATATAAAATAGTCTTCAAATTAGAAGAATCATTTATGCGATGTTTTAAGTTATGCTGAAATACTAGTTATCTAAAACGGTCCAAGTTTTTTGAATAATCACAAAAATGATATAGTACACTTATAATTTGTGTCAAAAAACTGTCAAGTAATGTTTAAACTATATGTCAGTAAATGTTGACATATTATTTCATGTCTATTGCAATCGATTTTCCCTTTAGGTAAAAAACCACACATTGTCATCTTTATCGTTTAGTTAAAGAAAATACAGACAATTTTTCTGTACAGGTATATTGACACTAAATAGATAATAATATGGATGGGAAAAAATAATTGTTCAATTAATTTTATTGCGATTTTAAATTAATAAGTAAAGTGTAATTAAATTTTTAACAAGCTCGTATTTTACAAACGCATTACCATTTCGGCAATTCAATAATATAAATATTTATATATTTTTTTTATTCTTAGATACAGTAATTATTTGATGCTATAAAACACGATGAAAACATGTTTTCTGATGTGGAATTTATTAATTTTAGTCCTATCAGTGTTTGATATAAATACATACGATTATGCTTTGTCGATGTGACGAAACAAGATATTCTTGTTCAACTTGATCTTTTAAAGAATTAGGTCACAGTTCATCATGTTTTAGATTTTTACATAAAAATATAAAAACGTAAGGTCTTCGTAGGATCATTTCTATAGTGAGATCTTCACGAAACATAACAAATGTGACGCAAAAAAAATTAACAATATCAGATACATTTAAACTTATTGTTTACTTTTATCGTGAATAATAAAAAAAAAACATAAAAAATAGCTACTGCCGATAGAAATATCAATAAAGAAGGTTAGTTATCTGTGTGCCTCGATTACCTTTTAATACTGGAATTAAACGGTTTGTTAATGTTAAAAATCCATATAAACAATAATTTTAGCAGTTACGCGTACCATGTACATATACCATGTTGACAATATTTTTTAAAACTTTTCATGTAACAAATTAAGATATTTATATAAGGTTTTAATTTTAGAAATCATTTAAACAGGTTATAGTTAAATTTATAAGGCATGACGCTATTTTTTCTAGCGCTTTCGTGTAAAGTTGGCTAAGCAAGTACGATAATCATTGTACAATATATTCGGCTGAAATACAAAAGAAATCGAAGAAATCACGTATTAAAATTGAAATGTAAATTTTCAACAAGTAAATCAGATCAGTAACAGAGCAATAAATTTACATTATGTTGTACAATACATAATGCATAATATAAATTTGTAGCACTTTATAATAGTGATAAAAGGTTGTAGAAATGTCGAATAAACTCGTAATTTGGCAAAGATTAGTAAATAACACTGTTATTGATATTAAATACCACTAAAATCCAAATTCATTACAAATTTTGACGTCGAAGCGAAGTGTTTAACATTTGTCTAAAATTTGGCCAAAACTGCACTAAAACATATACACGCAGTTAAAATAATGTATAAATTTTTACAGTTGTCATTTGAACATTTTTAAAAATATAGTGTTAAGGATTTTACATTTGGCGTACATTGCAAGCATATTGCAAATCATATAGAATTTATTTTATATACATGTTTATGTGCGTATGGCGTGGTTTGAACTAGATCTTGGTAAAATTGTATGAAGTTATGTAATATAAGGGGATGACATTATTTTCTTAACTGTGACACCAGAGTGTACGAAGTAAACACTTATTTATGTGAATATTAAAACAGTCGGTTACACAAGAGTCGAGTAATTAGCCACAAGTGACTAAGGTAATCCAAATTTTAAACTATTCAAAATAATTTCACATAATCAATCCCAGTCCAATATTCTTAAATACCCAAAACTAGCGACGCTACTTTGTTGCACTAATCTTGTATTTTATCTAAAATTGTAGTTGACATTTGCAGGATAAAATTTATTGTAACATCATATGTGGTTAATGAAGTTAGTCTTCCATAAATTCAATAAACGACGAGCGACTTTTCCATTATACTAAACGTTTTTTACAAAATTAAAGAATTCAAAGTATTAAGAAAAATAAATTATCATTAATGTCGCAAACATAGAGTATGATTGTTATAGAATAATGCCTTAGAAAAACTAGTTCAAACCAATGCCGTAATTCAGTGCCTATGCAAAAACCATTGATAAAACACGTTAAGGACTAAGCTGCTAGATATTTTATGATACAAACAAAATAATTAATTCAATGTGATGTCCACTGCGGTATGTGATCATAAACATAATTAGAGAAAAACAAAAAGGCATCAAGACGAATTAAACTATGGCTACCATTTCAAATTTTGTATTAACAAACAAGCCAAAGTTTTGCTTGAAAGTGCGAAGAGTCATACGTTTGGAATAAACTATATGAAAAATGTATTTACACTTAAAGTGATGCAATATCGTGAAAATTTGTGACTTAATTCGAATTGTGCCTTTTTGTTTGTTTTCACTCATTATGTTAAAGTATATATAGATGATAGAGATACGAAGAAATCTGATAGCTTCATGGGAAAGATTTTTGTACGTTAAAAATAAAGAAAAAAAACACATACAATAATACAGAAGGCAAACATTAAAAGTTTAATTAGTCATTTACTCTTACTATATGCGATTTTTCTAAAATGTATCTTGATATTGAAAGAAATTGCCTAAAAACAAAGGAATCTTATTTGCAACTTAGATGATGCATTTTTATTGCAAGACACAAAGAAAGTTATGCGTCCGCCGACTAAATCGTGAGTTGTATGCTAATCTTTACAGCTCTAGAAAATCGTTTTAATGCTTTAAAATTTCCGACATCTCTTCCATTATTATAGTCATGTACTCCTAATATAAATTCTATTCACTTATAAATGCTTGATCTCAATGCGACACCAACTTTAATATTTTAAATTTCGATTTTATTCATAGTTATAATAATACGAATGCCAATATTTTTCTATATGAATTATGGAATATATATTTTTAAGATACAGTGTGATAGTAAGGCACTTTTTTACAATCATCTTGCATGTTGCTGAATACCTCAAACTGTCACAAAAAAAATTATATTTCATGTGAACGCGTATTATAAATGTGAGTTAATATTAACTTTTATGATGACTAAAATAATTCGCATGTAAACTTACCTAAGATGGGGTGAATAGAGAAATAACTTCGTAAATAAACAAAAAGCCAGAAGAGTTTTTACACCATGTTTTATTAAAATTATATTAATAATTGTCAAAACTTTTCTGGTTTTATTTCTATTCACCCCATTTTATTGTCTTGGGTATTTTTAATCCATTCTGTATATTTGATAAATTATATGTTATTTTTAGCATTTAGTGATTATTAGTTTAGCATGTATATGAAGTAATGTTTTAAATCTAGTATAGAAATTGTAACTTTTTGAGTAAAGCGATTTGTATCTGTCCGATTTAATGCTGCTTTCATATAATTGACGACGTTGGCTACAATTGAAAAAAAAAATCGTTTGCTTAGTGTACTACGATTAGGATTTTAGTAATAGTTCTTAGTGTTTTGACATTTTGTAAATTGCACGTATTTCATAATTATTTAGTAAATCTTAAAGGTATATTCTGGCATTCAATAATTAGATACCCATTTGCGATGTAGGTAATGATTGTTGTATACCACTGTATTATTCTGAATCAAACTCAATATCCAAACTAATTTAAAACTAAAATAGAAACTTTTTTTTTCTTATAGTTTCGATGTCATACGTTTTAATGGATTCGTATTTAAACAATGTACACATTTTAACAATTTACTTTTAATTATAAAGTTATTGGATTTATCTAAAAAGAACATATTAAAAGAAAGAAAATCGCAACCGATTCAGTGCTAAGATTTTTTTGGCTCAATGTTCGGAATTGGAAATACAATTGTGAGTGAATAAAACGATACAATATGTAAACCAACTTTACACTATGACAACGAATGATATATCTGTCTATCTAGCGACATTTCCGTCCTCTTCTTTCGCACTTAATGTTTGGCTGTCGTTATATATTAATATACTTTATTATACAATAAATATGTATTATTCAATGCAATATTAGATATAAAGTGACATTATTGTCATTTCATTGGAATTTTAAAATATTAGTGCGTGCTGTTTATTCTGTATTGTATACAAGACGACGTATAAAGTAATAATTTCGAGTTGTGAATTTTTTTTAAAGCAATCGTAATTGATGCAGCTGAAAATTCATTATAATTGTATAGTCACTACTAAAAGTCAATTCGCTTTTGACGAAAGTTGTTATAATTAAAAGGCAAAGAAGCTACATACTGTGTTACTTCTGTTTTAATATTTGGCTGTGTATTATTTAATTTTTATGTTCTAATTATTTTTAGGTTATATTTTTTGTATATATTTGACATCAAATTTAATTTCAGTTTTTAATAATTTCCATTAAAGAAATATGTTTTTGATTGTTTAAACATTTTTAGATGATTTCTTAAGGAATTACAGTACGTAAATTTTAAATACCGTTAAAAATGGCAACAAACAATATTGTGATTAAATAACTTAAGACATTTAAACATTTTACAATTTGTTTAACTTATCGTGTATAGAAATATTTGCATACGTCGTAAAAATATTGTGTTTACACTATAAATACCGAGGATTGATTTGTATAGCTTAAAAAATTATCAACTTGTGAGATTCCTTAGTGATGAGACAGGTTCGAAGATTTTTAACATTGTATTTCTTTAATTCATCGAACACTAAATATCATGAACCAGTTTGTAAAGGTAGCTTTTGATGCGATGAAACAATCGTAAAATATATTTACTGCAGTTATTGCATGGAAAACGTAAATGTAACCAACATTTTAATACTGTATAGAGTGGTTTTCTGTATTAGCAGTATATAGTACAGGGGTTGTCAACTTGGATTCCGATCTATGGACTTTGAGTTATTGTGATATGTGATATATAAGTATGGAGGTTAGAGTTCTATCGATATCGACGACAGCAATTGATCCAAATGTTGACCACCCTTGGAGATCTTATCACGTGCCTCTAAAAACATACTGTTTAATTACATGCATGGTAATCAAATAGACACAAAGCGTACATTTCGGTATATTTCAATAGCTTTAAATTAGATTAGTGTTTTGTGCTAAATATATAGTGAAATTTTAAATATCTGCCATATTTTTTATTGAAGTATTTACTGAAAGCGTAGTAATGGGATAATAATGCGCAATGTGAAACGAAATATAAGTACAAAGGAAAACGTTATATGTATATCATTATTATCTATTGATAGTCAAGAATAGCGTTAATTTTGCCGTCAAAGAAGGGTGTCGTCGCTACGTGAGACGTCATTCGTTTGTCCATCCCTTTTATATCTCACTTGCTCAAAATATATCTGCATACTTTTAACAACATTAGAATATGTGCTATTTAAAAAATTATGCAAACGAAATTCAGGACATCTTAAACACCATGTACTGGTTTAAGATAGTTTTGGTCATACGTTGGTTTGCAGTATTAACGTTTGCGATATTTTGCAGCAAGTGAGGTAACATAGAATGCTAGAATACCCAATGAGCGAAAATTGAAATTTATCTATTTAATATATAATAGCAACAGTTATGTATATGAATAGTTATATAATCAGCTATTTCTTGAATCATAGATAATTAAAATAGGTGATAACCGCAAAGCTTCGGTCAACCTTACCCTACTTTATTTAGCATTGTAATTACTTATCGAGTTCTTCTTGTGTAAATGTAGATTAAGATTTTACAAAATGTATCCAACATATTTGACACATTTTAAATTCGACACGAGACGAACTCACGATACTTTTTAACATTTGAATCTTTGCTTTTTATAGTTTTAAGGCGTATGAACGTAACCCTAGTTAGTAAATAACTTAATCTTTACATAATGTTCTCCTGTATTGTATGTTGTGATTCACTATATTGGTATTGTGACGTTTTTGTGTTGACCGAGCTACGGGCTCTCGGATCGCTTCAACCAAATTTGTAAATATTTAGCTCAATTTATCAATAAGTACGTGTAAGTGTATTGTGATATGAGTATATTTTTTTTTGTTTTCCTGAATTTGCAATAAGTTTAGCTAGTTTTTTTTCTAAATGGACATCAAGTACACGTAATACAAAATTTCATTATTTTGATATAAGGGAATAACTTTTATGAAGATGTCACTATGGATATGCTACAATCATTATAAACATTGTCAATAAATTAAAAAAAATTATAATGATGTTTTATTTCGCTCAATCATACCCATATATTTTTTTCGTACTCTTAAATATTTGTTAAATATCAAAAGTAGTAAAGAAGGCAAAGGAGACCAATTTAATGCCAGGGTCCAAATAGCGTCTTTACGCAATATTAACTGGGATTATAGAAATTTTTTAAATGATACAGTTACTATGTATCTCCAGTACAACAATGGATCTTGCTGAAATTCGGCATAGATATAGTACATAGGCTGGTAGAGCAGCTGGGGTTATTAAGGTTTTTTTTTTAATTCCACGAGGACGGAAACTCAAGTATTACCTCGTAAAGAATAATGAGACATTGATATGGCCATCCGTAACTAGTCAAAGTAGTTGTAAACCTAATAGTACCCTTAGAAAAGGTGTATGATAAGGCTAGACGGGATGATTAAATCGGTAGTCAAATGAATGAGTAAAATCCCTGGTTACAAATTAATCTGAGATCTATGCTGTATAAGGAGGGCGGTGGGCACATAAATACCCCAACAACTCAAGTAAGTTCTAACAGGAATTCAGTTATATTATTTCCTGTTTCGCTGACTATTCTATTAAATTATTAAGTTGTAAGGGCTTTCATTTCTTTAATACTGCGCAATTTTTTATTCAATTAATGATTGCAAACACGTATCGTTGTTTTAATAAGACTGTTTTTTATGGTTTGTTATTCGTGACACATGCGACGTCCTGGGAAAATTTGAGTGTAATTGTATATAAAAATAAGACACGACAAAACGATGTGGGTGCGACATAAGTTCGCTATATGTTTTTTTTCAATCATTAAAATTCAGAGACTACTGCGAAGAAGAGCAAGAACTGGACAGTGGCGAGTGAGTCGTACGTCCTTGACTTTTTGATGCATTGCCTAGAGTGGACCGCGCTACCAGTCGACACACATCATTATATATTCATCAGCATTTTTGACGCGTAATGTATATTTGCCCTCACTTCCTCATCATCTAATATAGGCATTTGAACTTTTCGGGAACCACTTATTACTTACTGGGTCATTATTGTATTGAATTTTGAAAATAAGTTATTTTAAGATTATATTTGTGTTCATATAATACAGTCAAATTGTCGACTGCTGTAATATACGATCTACTAAGTTAATCCTCTATGTTAAGCGACTCTTAGCTCACTCTTACTAAATTTTAAATTCAATATTTCTAAGTACGATTCATAATTTTTCAATAAGCCACTAGGAGCACCGTTGAGTTTTGTAATCTTATATGATCGTATCTGATGCTAAATATCAAATATCTATGCAATCATATATGCTAACAACTGATGAGTAATAAATTACAATTGCGATGAATATAGAAAACATGTTTGATCATTAAACATTTTTGAAAAAATATATTACGCAGTGAGCGTGTCACGCGTTTATGTCTTTTGTTCTAACGCATTGCCTAAGCTTTCTGTCTGTTACAAGCGTTTATCGTCTTACAAATTAATGTTTCTTTGTATCTCTTTATACATTTTATTAGGGTTCTTCAATGTTGCCCTATTTCAATGTAACCGTATCCTGAAATGATCGATGGTAAAAGAGTTACGTGAAAACACAGGTGCAGGGTAAAAAGTCAGCGAGGGCGCGGGCGCGGAATGGTTGGTACGTGTCAAGTTCCGAGGTGGACAAAGTGTCCAAGGGTGAGCTGGTGCCGGAGGGAGGCGGCGGCGGCGGCCGTGGCGGTGGCGGCGGCGCGCGGGCACAGCCTCTGCGGCTATAAGTAGGAGGTGCGCGCGCCGCGGCGAGGTTAGTCGCCGTTCGGCAGCGCGTCGCCTGCGGTGTTATTCTTCCCCGCCGTCCCCCGCCGGTGCGTTCCACTACCCCCTCGAAGTCCCTGCACGCACTCGCCTTTCTCACACGATCACCGGCGATCCTCGTTTGCGCAACCTAGTTCAAAACCGAAAGGTCGCCACTATTGGCATTTAGCGCTCTTTGACATTAACGTTGCATTTGAATGTGTGATGTAGCTTCCTCATCGAGCTTCAACTGTCTGTCGCAACTGTGTGTCGTTTGGGAAAGGCGCGTGTGCTGACGTGAGGTTTCTGTTGCAGTCAGCAGCCCGCAGCCCGCAGCCCCAGAGAGCCGGGCCGTGCGTACGCCATCGCACACACCAACTCAACATAGCCACCGCCAACATGCTCGCCAGGACACCACTGTAAGTTTTATATCCATCAGTATTACGTACTAATTGTTAAAATATAGCTGTCAATAACGTTAATAGTGTGTGATTACTTTCTAAATCAAAGCTGATCAGTACGGGTCTGCTTGAAACCAGTCAGTGTGTTGTCACTTTCATCGGCTGTTTGCATAGGTGAATCTTGCGCAGACTCCGGGCTTTATGTAATACTGCACGAAAGATGGCTTGGTTCGTCTTTTACCGATACCGCGAAAATTTGATCTGATTTCTCGTGTGGAAATCAGGTGTTTGTTGCCCAACGGCAGCTGACTGACATCACGAATGAGGGCGCGTATTTCTCAATGAAGGCTGCGAAACATTGCTTTAAAATATGCAAGACTCAGCGCGGTCGCATATTGTTCCCACAACGAACTTAGTTCAAATCACAGCTTCCCCGTTACACTGTTATATTTAAAAGTTCCGTAGATAATTGTAGTCATTGTCAAGTACGAAGTAATGAAAACAGATCTCATATTTTCTTCGGTACGAATTGTAAATGTAGTAAGGTTTTGTAAGTTACGAGAAATATTAAATTACGCTTTGTAGTAGAATTTAATAAAAAATGTACAATGTTCGCAAATATACAAGGAGGGCTGGGCGTTGTTTTTTCAGACTTCACTTTCAAAGCTCAATTTGGTCATGGATGAGAGTACCGGTTTAGCGTTAAGTTTAGAAGTCATGACATATTGTTGCAACATTTTTCTGTGAGTCGCGTCTCAAGCTTAACATGCATGCAACTCCTCGGTAATTTATAGTCAATGTCAGTCATATTTCCATAAACATAAAGGTATAAAATTACTATTGCCGAGGCTGATGACTCAAACCGGATTTATAAATGAAATGCCCTTTTGACATGGTTGAGCTTTTAATGTCTGTTAATTGAGTTACGGTGAAGATAAAATGACTGTGCAACATTGAAAAGACAAGTTCGCTACATATATTTATATTCAGTTATAGTCATACACGAGCCGCTTTTGTCAAACTCTCTCTGTTAGGTTTGCGTCACAAGGCGCTAAATGGCTTTTCGAAAACACAATAGGGGCATCGTGTTTGTTTTCTTGCACTGAAATGCCAAGTCCAGCAGCGGATATGTGCTGATGACTAGATACGATGACACAATAGTCTCAACTTTTATTAATTTAGGAAAGTTCACACATCTTATGACTTATTTCGGTTATAAATTTAGATGCCACTCGTAATTATCTAACTTTGTTTTAACGTTATGGATCTGATGGTCACTTTAATTGTCAACTATTTACATATGTCGGTACGAAGTCATTTATTAAATTTATTCTTGTTAGTTTTGAAAATAAACCTCCGCTAATCGCTTGTATTTTCTTATTACTGGCATGTTGGTTATACAAATACAATATAGCTTTATCGATATCAAGAAACATTTGTAATAACATTCTAGATACAGCTAAAACAAAACATTTAATAAACTTTAAAATAATAGTTTTTCAAGTTTTGATGGTATCATTAATTTACCATATTTTTGTTCAAGCGGCTATTTTACTGAAAAGTAGTCAGTAATAATTAATATAAACCAAGTGTTCGCATAACTTTTCCATTTATTAGAACAAAGCGCGATTATTCAACCGTACAATGCTTAATTACGTCACCTCAAAATTCCGGCCTACGTCTATATGATTACATATATTTTTACTTTCGCTATCAAAATGGTAATGTAAACACGGCTTAAATTTTGTCACTACTGATGCGTAATTCGCTTTAGGTGGTATTTGAATACAAATCAGATTTGGAATTTCTCCGCGTTACAGATTCGGCTATGTAACGCCAATAAAGTGTTGTACTTGAAAAGAAAGTAACCGTCGATAGATATTTACACCACGTTCATACGTTTACTGAACACATTTCGTAACTAATGATTCGAATTTATAAACGCGTGTGAAAGCATTCGAGAATTACACGCAGTGTGACGTTTACCGCCTATTACATTTTTTATTCTTAACTTTACATCACACGTTTCAGTGTAGCTATTGTTAGTTCTCTCTTTTATACTTTTATTAGTAACAACTATTGAATTTTACAGTTTAGGCAGTATGAAGTATTCATAATATAAATTAAATTACTGAAATTCTTAGACAAAATATTTTATGCTAATCTTAAGTTTACCTTGATTTTAAGTTTCTTGATGTAAATTCTTATTTGAAATCATTTTACAAATGCGATCAAAGAATTTTAATTAGAATTAAAGATTGATTGTATAAAAGCTTCGGCAATTCCTATCGACATTATCTATTCGCGAATAAATAACATTTTATATATTAACATAATTAACTCCAATCCATTAAAAGTAAAATGATAATTAAAAAAACTATTACAGCTACTTAAAAAAAACCAGAGCCATATTACGTAGCTGACAGAAGGGTTTTTCGCGCAACTTTGACAAAAATAACATTATTTTCATTATCATCTGCTGTGATTAACACGTGCACAAGTAAATTTTAATTCTACAGTTAGAATTAAAGGTGTGTGGCGGGCTTTATATAAGTTTTTCAATTGAAGGCTTGATTGAATTCTAATATAAATACTCAATATTGATTAAATGTTCTGTTCAATCCATTCTGTTGGTTTGTAGTTGTCTCGTGTCCGTGCCGTCGTCGTCGCGTGCCAGTCGCGTGTCGGTCGCGCGTTGCGACGTCACCGGCGCGACTCGTCTTCGACTCCATTCGACCTTCACTTTCGCTTTTTACGTGTTCCGGCGTATCTCAGCGCGTGTGCCTTGTCACGATGTCCGCTACTATTATTTTTTTAATTACAAACCAGTTAGATTAAAATTAAGAAGCAACGGAACTTATAAATAGCGGTATTTAGGCAAGTCATAGTTTTTATGAAACTTAGTTTTCGTCGTAAATAATTATCGGTTTCACTGTCCTTCACAAATATCTTCGCAAGTGGGGACTGTAATTATAAACTGAATGTCGGATTTCCAAAGGAAGACAACATCATTAAATACGACTTTTGAGACAGAGCAGAAAGTTTATCCTTATTACATCTGTTTTTCTAAATAATTGAGACGTTTGAATTGTTTTCTGTAGTAAGCTAACTGTCGCACTTAGAGTATGTTACACGTTACGTAGTCGCATGTGCATCGTTTTGTTTAGATTCGATCGATTTCGTAAGATTACGAAATTCATTAAAAATATTAATGGTAAATGACGTGATAGGTCGGCATTTGAAATTGTAATTAGCCGTATTATTGATAGAAGTTAACTAATTGATTGTATTTATTTTTATTTTTAAATTTGCTCAAATAAATAGTCTTTTTAAATCAATATTAACACGCGAGCCCACGGAATTAGTAACATCAAAAAACATCTTCATCTTACGTTACTTTTGCTATAATTTTACACAGGATCAAATTACAAACATTTACGAAGGTATGGTCAACATCTAATAATAGCAACTCAATGCATGCCTGTATAACAGAGAAACAGGTAGAGATTTTGGCTTTCCATTAGGTTCTAGCATACTCTGGTTTCTTTTTCGCGTACTGTAGTACGTATGAATGCTTGTCGGTTTCAGCTTCAATTATTATTAAGTATATAAAATTCACATAAAACCTTATTTCCAAAAAACGTTTCGATATCCAAAGAAAAAACTGATAACGTCGTCGATTGTTGCAGGCTACCAACATCCTTGACATTAGTTAAAATATACCAAATGTTACAACCTTGATTCAACGTGACAATTTCTGAAATTAGAGCTTTATGTTAATAGGGCTACGTAATATTTTTGGTTACCTTTCGTGATTTCTTTGGAAGTCATATATTTGCGTTTACTTTCACCTCAGATGTTTCTATAGAAATGAGAAATCACCTTTACACCTTCGACCATTAGTATCGTAACCATGATATGTCACTTTCGATAAATGAAAATAGTCATTAACAATAATCTCAAATCTGGTAAACATATAATTAAATGGTATAATTTCTAACTCAATCATAATTTTACTTATGTTATGAATGAGAAAGTTTGTACGTTTAGATGGATGTTTCTTGGTGTCCTTAACGGCTAAACGGATCACTATGAAATTCGGCATAGATATAGAGCATATACGGGTACGCGTTATACCAGACTGTAATCTATCTCTGTTCCAAATGCATCCATCTGTTCAGCTGTTTTGATGTGACTTGATAGTATAATTAGTAGTAATATGAAGTGAGATTGAATTATATTATATGCAGCATAAAGGGTACGCTTATCTGAGTGGTCGAGTTTGATGCTTTGCACTTTCTACATGTTGATATGTCAAGGACAGCTAGCGTGTATCGGCGACAGCGCGACGGGTCACGACCCATCGGAGCTAATCCCACCACTGTTGCGTAACCACCAAAAACTCGTCGTACACCAACTTTGACATAATTAAGCTTGTTTATCCGCGATCGAAACCAGCCTCTTGGAACCTGCTCTACAACTATTTTTATTGCTTGCCCACCGTTATAACATTGATACAATCTCATACCATAGTTCCAGCTCGTTCGAGCTTGAAGCGGTAAATTATCAAAGTTATTTTCTAAGCACGTGCTTTTTTATCTCACTTTAAGTGTACTTTAACAACATTTTACTAACGATTGTTACAACTGGTAGACCTTAGTATTATAAAAAAACATTTCTGATGATCTCTCTAGTTACTATTCCAGTACACTATTTATTCCATAATGTAAGAATACAAAATAAATTATTGGAATGTGGTAAGTTGTAATTCTATGCAACTTTATCGACGCCAAGGCAAGAATGTGGCTAGGTCGTGACCTAAATGTTTAATTTGTCTTACATTTGCTTGATGAAACATTGATTTAAATCCTACGTTTATATTTAAACGATTATAACCTAAATAGGAAACAAACAAAAACCATTTCTTCGATCATATTACCACTTAACTATAGGTGGGATCGTGGTCAAGCGCTGATTTTTAAAATAATAGAAAAAAACAGATTTCGGCTGCAACGATT